CGCCGAAGAATCCCACGCTTCAAGCTACTCTGCTCCTGTTGAGACTGGCCACGCCGAAGAATCTCACGCTTCGAGCTACTCTGCCCCCGCTCAGAGTGGCTATGCACAAGAATCTCACGCCTCGAGCTACTCAGCTCCAGCAGTATCCAAGACAGAAAGCCATGCTCAAGAGTCCCATGCTTCAAGCTATTCGGCTCCCGTAGAGTCCAAGACAGAAAGCCACTCTGCTGCTGAGCAGTCGGGTTACCCGGCCAAGGAGACGAAGTCTGAAGCCAAGGCATCAAGCTATTCTGCTCCTGAGATCTCCAAGGCTTCAAGCTACTCCGCCCCTGAGCAATCAGTCTACTCTCACTCATCAGAAACCAAGTCTGAAGCCAAGGCGTCAAGCTACGCTGCCCCCAAGGAGTCCAAGGTTAGCTACGCCTCCGAGAGCAAGGTCGAGTCCAAGACATCGGAGTACCAGTCAGCGTACCAGGCACCGAAGACGTCCGAGTACCAGTCAGCATACCAAGCACCAAAGTCTTCCGAATACCAGTCAGCATACCAAGCACCAAAGTCTTCCGAATACCAATCGGTCTACCAGGCACCAAAGTCTTCCGAATACCAGTCAGCATACCAAGCACCAAAGTCTTCCGAATACCAATCGGTCTACCAAGCACCAAAGTCTTCCGAATACCAATCGGTCTACCAGGCACCAAAGTCTTCCGAGTACCAATCGGTCTACCAAGCACCAAAGTCTTCCGAGTACCAGTCAGCATACCAAGCACCAAAGTCTTCCGAATACCAATCGGTCTACCAGGCACCAAAATCATCCGAGTACAAGCAGTCAGTATACCCCACCTCGACATTTGCGAGCTACGCCAGCGCGGAGACTGGAACTTACAGTAAGGCTGCTTCGACGTACAATGTCTACGAAACCAGCAGCGCCGAAGCCAAGTCCAGTGAATATCAGGCTCCATATCAGGTTGCTCAGTCGAGCGAGTACCAGGCTACATACCAGGCCCCAAGTCTAGCGAATATCAGGCTCCGTACCAGGTTGCCCAGTCGAGCGAGTACCAGGCTACATACCAAGCTCCTCAGTCCAGTGAATACCAGGCCACATACCAAGCTCCTCAGTCCAGTGAATACCAGGCTCCATACCAGGTCGCCCAGTCGAGCGAGTACCAGGCTACATATCAAGCTCCTCAGACCAGTCAGTACCAGGCTCCATACCAGGTTGCCCAGTCGAGCGAGTACCAGGCTACATACCAAGCTCCTCAGTCCAGTGAATACCAGGCTACATACCAAGCTCCTCAGTCCAGTGAATACCAGGCTCCATACCAGGTTGCCCAGTCGAGCGAATACCAGGCTACATACCAAGCTCCTCAGTCAAGCGAGTATTCGGCTGTCAGCCCCGTGTCCCAGACCCAGATCATTCAAGGTGTTACAGTAGTGAACACTAATGCTGCTACGGCGCCTGTTGAGAGTGCTGCTGCTCCTACCGGTACTGCCTACGCTCAGTACACCGTGACGGAGAGAGTCTCTACTCAGGTCTACGCCACCGAAGTTTACCCCGAGACGACGTACACCACTGTCAGCCAGGGTGTTACCGTTTGCATCACTCAGACCGGTTATCAGACAGTCCAGGCCACTAGGCTGGTCACCGAGACCCAAACCGTTCCGGTCACCTGCTACGAGGAGTGCGTGGCTTACGCCTCACAGGAAGCCCCCAAGCAGACTTATAGCAACGCCGCTGTTTCCCAGCAGGCTCCTCAACAGACATACTCAGCCGAAGCTCCCAAGGAGACATACAGCAATGCTGCTGCCTCTCAGCAAGCTCCCCAAGAGACCTACAGCAATGCTGCTGCCTCTCAGCAAGCTCCCCAAGAGACCTACAGCAACGCTGCTGCCTCCCAGCAGGCTCCCCAAGAGACCTATAGCAACGCTGCTGCCTCCCAGCAGGCTCCTCAACAAACCTACTCTGCTGAGGCTCCTAAGGAGACCTATAGTAACTCGGCCGCCCAGGCTCCCACAACTGTGCACACTTCTGTTAGCCCGAGCAAGTCTGCCGAGGCTACTGCTGCCGTCAGCACTGTCGCTGCCGGTCGGGCACCACGCGCCACCAAGGCTGCCGGCGCCATGCTTGCTGGACTTGTGGCACTTGTGGCTGCGCTTTTGTGATTGGTTATATAGACAGCGAGCAAGGATCACTCTTGGGGAGGTCCTTCATCTCACGCCACTCTCATGACCCAAAGTGCATTTTCTTTTCTTTGTCACTGTCCCCATCTGTTTCTTTTTAAATTCTCTAATCATATCATGACCACAGCTACGACAGCAATGTGCAATGGCATAGACACTCATTTCACGACACATAATGGAAAAACCGCATCTTGGAGTTTACTCGGAAAATCCTACACCCATGAAAGGGGGAAAAATTTGGCGAAACACAGAGCATACATACACTTTTTCATTTGTTAACAATCATGTGGGGAACCAGACATAAAGAAAGAAAGCAATTGCCTTTTCCTACATACCTAATATCAGGGGAAACTGGGAGGGGTATGAAGCAATGTTAATGTGGTAATTATCTGGTGTACTCACTTGAAATACTTATTCCTGTACATAGATTTTAGTCGCTTAATTCTTTTTTTTTTTTTTTCCTTGAGTTGAAATGCCAAGTAAATTGCCGAGTTGATACAGTTTTATGAATGAAGTATTGTGCATTCCATGTTGCATTGTGACTTGATGCCTTCGCATGTCACATGATATTGAAGTAAAGAAATTGTCAGACCCATCCATCCTTCCTTCAACATTGGCCTCCTCTCTCAAGGGAACGTGACCTCGGATGTGACTTTTGCATGAGACGACTTTCAAAAAATTCAGTTATCAATCAGGATTCTCTGGCAAAACTTGAGGAGCATGGTGTTCAATGAAAGAGGGGGAAGAATAGGCAAATGAATTACAAGCAAGCAACGCCCGGGCTTATTGAATGGTCCTTGACGCCTCATGCTATGTTGGTGAAGATGAAAATGGTATAAAATGTACATGCAATATTATGCCATGCTCTCTCTCTCCGTGCGCCACATTATCAAGCCATAATGTCGTTGCCATGCCAGGTCATAGTTCCGGGAAAGTCTTTTTACACGCTCTCTCTCCTCTTCAACATGTCATGTCTAGCCGGCCCAACTCCAAGCAATATGATACATCTCAACAAGATTGTTGCCTTGAATGCCGAAAACAAACGCTTGCGCTTCCATGCATCATCCACTTACCACAAACCGTGCTTTTGACTCGAAATCCGGCTTTGAGTGGGAACCTATTCCCTCAATGCCTGTAGTGCCGTGTTCAAAGGCATGATTCTCAAACTCCTGCCTCTCCGCAGACCAGTGCCACCGCCTGAGGGGTTCATGATGGTCGGACTGCTGGTATCCTGCCACTTTCTGAAAACGCTCTTCAAGTCCCTGGGGATTCCTTCTAGGATGACTGTAGAGACAGGCACAAAGGGCCGGTCCTCCATGCCAGCAGCAAGAATAGCAAATTCCTGGGCAAACTCGAGCGCATTGTGGAACGAGGCGTATTGTGGTTGCGCACGCGCTCCAACGATGATATACAGCTCGAAAAAGGCGTCTAGCACGAAAATGCCTGTTTGGTCTAGATCCTTTTGAGAAAAGGGCGCAATTTCGACAATCTGTATTGACAAGGTGTTAGTCATGGGTGATTGCAAGGAATGTGGGTGGGTGTGTTATGGATGATCGATCACTTACCTGCTGCTTGGACGTGGCTTCAGAACGGAAGAGCCTGCTGCAATACTTGTCGTAATTGGGCTTCAGACGCCAGTGATCTGCAGAGCCCTGTCTTTTGTTTCCACCAAAGATAGTCCAGAAGCTTTCAGGCTCCTGGCCATCCTCGATCTCCTCAAGTTCGCCCGTGAGCGCATAGTCCATGCCCACAAGCCGCGCGCAACTGAGTTCGTCGGCACCGCTGCCCTTGCCCTTCCACAGATAACATTTACCAGAGCTGGTAATCAGGTAAGGGAATCCAGAGCAGAGTGCTGCAGAGTTGAAGTCAACTTCGTCAAAGACAAGCTGTCCCAGATATCGTCGTCCACACATCATATGAGGTGCCAACGAATCGTACTTGTTACTGGAACCACGCCTTGTAATGACAATGCCACCGAGAGCTGCTAGGAATTCAGTTGTCTCCTTGTTCTGCTGCAATCTGACGAGCGTCCCACCGAGAGCCCTAGCCTCACGAGCGACGAAAATGGATGCATCTTCTACCACGGCAGCTGGAACCTCATCTCCCGACCAAAAGTAAACCTCTGTAGTCTTCTTGCCAGCTTCATTCTTGAACGTATGGGAACACAAGTACATCTCTTGTTCAAACAAGACTCGGTCGTTATGCGCCGGTACGGGTGTTTTCTTGCCATCTGCTGAGAAGTGGAAAAGCTGTGCGCTCAAAGTCTGAATCCTCGGCGCGGAAATGTTTGGCCTCCGCATGAGGACATCTGCCGAGTCTACTTGGTAGTCTCTTCTGGCCCGATTAGAGCCAAAGAAGTCCGTCAATACTGACGAAACTTCAATGGCCTGCTTAGTAGGAGATCGCACTGGCGAAGGAAGAGGTCGAGGAGATGTCGCTCGGGGAGTAGGTAGAGGTCTTGAGCTGATGGGTTGCTCTGCAGCGAAGAAGGGACTTGTCTTGATCGAAGTTGAACTGACTGGGGGAGGAGAGGGCAAAGCTCTGCCGCCGGATGCACTTCCTAGCTGTGGACTTGGAAGACGTTGATCTTTAGTAGTCTCAAGTGCAGGCTGCGGGCTGATTTTCTCTGGCTCAGGTAGAGGCCTGCCTGCAGAAACCACGGGCGGCGACCGCACCTCGGGCTTGCTTTCTATGGGGCTTGCTGGCTTGATAGAAAGAGGCTTGGGCGCAGCGCTTTCCGTGGGAGTCTTCTCATTGCGATAGGACTCGCGCTCAGGGGACTTGTCGGGGCTGAAATCACCGCCGAACCTCGAGACTCGTTTCATATCGAGTTTCCTCGGAGAAGGTGGTTGCGAGCTCACCAGTGGTGACTCTTGCTTTGTAGGCGACGGAGTAGCGCGTTGAGCCGCCAGTGCAGCTACTTGTTCAAAAACTCGACTTTTGGATCGGACTCGGGTTTTGAGGGGACTGGGCGCCTTGGTAGACTCGACAGAAGTAGTCTCGAGACCTTGTTTGTTCGAATCAACCAAGTCAAGTGGCTGAGGTTTCGGCCGGCCCTGGTGCGCATCCTTTTGTGACAAGTCTGCACGGACGGATTCAGCCTGGGGCGGAGCAGCAGCACTGATAGAATCAGCTGGTGTTTCTGGTTCTGCTGGCGTCACTGTTTCCGCTTCCGATGGTTCCGCCGCCGCAATAGACGATTCCCCTATACTCGTGGGCGCTGTAGTCGAGGCGACAGATGTGGGAGCCTTTCTCTTCGGTCCTCTGGCCCGGCCCTTGGTCATATGTGTAAGCTTTGGCCCCGAGGCCGGTTCACCGCTGGCTAAACCATCTCCTGCAGAGTTGCTGTTGTTGGACGCTCCAGTCGCCATTGATGGAGGACCCCGAGCGAGCAAACCTGCCAGACCCGGATTGAAGCGATTTGCAAGCTTGCCTGGCAGTCGTCCAGGCGCACCTGTCTCCTTGGGCAGGGTCGAAGAATGCGCAGCCGTACCGATAGGTTTGGAAGTTGGGATTGCGCTTGCTGATTCTCGCTGGATACCGATGCTCGGACGCCGGTCAGGCATGGGGTTCTCTTGCGTAGACGCTTGTCTCTCATGAAAATTCGGTCGCTCCGTTGAGCTGATTGACTTTCTACCAACTCCAAAAGGGGTGGATGTCAACGTGGCCGAGTCACGCTTGATCGACTTCGAGCGACCGAGCTCAAAACTTTTCACGAGACCTTCAGGGACGGGTTGCTCGCTTGCCGAGCTCAAGTTACGAGTGACACCGCGGCCCTCCGACTGCGCCTTGCTGAAATCCTTCTTCTTGGACAAGATTGCCTCCTTGAACTCGTCTACCCGCTCTGTCTTTTTCGGACCACCTGTCACGTTGAGACCAGCCTTGCCTCGTAGAATATTTCCCTTCAGCTCATCGGGCGCAACGTAGTTCTGGGTTGTCGTCTTTCGGAGATTGCCGAAGACGTTCTTGAAGTCAGCCGGTCCAACAGAGTCGGGTTTGGGCGGCGGTCTGGACTGCAGACTGGCTCTGAAGTCCGTCTTGGGTGGTGCTTCGGGCTTGGGTTTGGTATTGGCTGCAGTTGTGGCCGCTCTGGCGCGCTCAGTGGGCTTTACAACCTCAGCGTGAGCATCACCAGTGGCGGAAGTGTCGACGGAACCCTTCCGCGAACTTCCATAGCCAGTCCATTGGGGTGTAATTGGTGACGCGGCGCCACTTGCGCCTACTATCGACAAAGGCCGGGCGCCAACACCCGGGGCGGAAGCTCGCGCAAGACCTCCAATGCTGACTTGATGCTTATGGGATACCGTGGGCGCTCTCGAAAGCTCTCCGCTAGGGTTTGCTGCCTTTTGTGCCTTTGCCTTGGCTATTTCAGCCATCCACGGGGGCTGGTTTACTGGAGCGGGCGTTGCCTTGGGCTTTGGCGATTCGGGCTTGTTCAAAGCAGACTCGAGCCAACTCGCCTTGGTAGGACTCCATCTCCGAGGATCCATGGTCTTGGAGGGACTGGTTGGCGGCGTCATTTTCTCCTCGTCAACAGCTTCGGGCTCCTGGGGAGCTTCTGTAGAGTTTGCAGCTTCGTTGACTTGTGTTGATGCCGGGTCTTCTGCTGCAGTCTCCTTGATCCCTTGACTAGAACCGGGTCGTGAGGAGCTGGAGCCTGGCCGCGGTATTCCGTCAAATGACTGGTCGCGACCAAGACTGATGGAGCCACGAGGTCCAATGTAGCTGTTGCGGTTTGAGGCAATTGTATCGTTACGCTGCAAGCCCTCGGGTGACTTGAGACTCCATCGCTTGTTCACGCTGTCAGATCGCTTCATCATGGCACTTTGTACGAAGCCCCCTAAGCCCTTGGTGGGGGAATTGGGTCGATCGGAGCGAACAGGAGACGTGCGACCAAGCAAGGGGGAAGCTAGAGCTTGGGTCTCACGGGGACTGTCAGTCTCCATGGTATTTTCCGTCTTCGGAGGATCCAGTCGTTGCGAAGTTGACAGGGACAATGGTGATCCAAGCAGTCCAGGTGGAGCACCCGAGTTGGGTCTCGAGTCGGAATCATCCTTTGTGGGGTCTGTCGATGGTCTTCGGGCCAAGCCGTGCAGTTGACCGCTCATGGCAGAGGTGTCGGTGCGGTCTTCGTCCTCGACCTGGTTCTTCCTGTAAGCAGCAGACGAGGCGCCCCTATCTGAAGTCTGGCGGAACCAAGAAGGGTCTTTGGACGACAGTGCCTGGGATATCTGGTCTCGGGAGACGGCCTCGGTAGCTGATGTAGGTTCGGATGGGGTGGTCGAGGAGCGGGCCGCATTCTCGGCTGCAACCATAGACAGCGGCCGACTTCTTGTGCCGTTTGACGCTTGCGAGTTTGGTCGCCGCTGCCAACTCAACCCTCGGACCGTTGCACTTCTCGATGGAGATAAAGGATTGCTGGCGCGCTTGTTTTCAGCGTCAAAGGGAGACTCGTTCTCCTTGGACGCCGACGTGGAATAAAAGTTCTGGGTCGCCATGGCGTCGGATGAGTCTGTGTGACTCGGTGTCTGGGGACTTTTGGGAGGCTCGAAGCTGGGTGAGGCTTCTAGGTCGAGACGCTGCAAAGGCGTCGTTGGGCGCTGGGCCGACGGTGGTGGCGTGTTGACTGGCGATGATTTCTGGGGGGAAATGGACCTGGCGCGTTCTGTACGACGAAACAAGGTAAGCAGCTGCGCGTTGGCACTTGTACACAGCAAGTCGCGACAAGCAAGGACACGATTTTAGAGTGACTGCAATGACTCGCAAGTGCTTTTGCAGTGCCAATGGCAGCAACCGAAGCATTCGCGAGCCAGTCTTTTGTTGTTGATCATCCAGCCGTGCTTTGAGGTTTGCAGCAGCAATGATGGTGTTTAGGATGGAGGGGTCAAGCGCGCGCAAGCAAATGTATGTAAAGCAAACAAGCAAGACAAACAAACAACAAGTAAATAACAGTAGATTATAGTAAGTCAGTTCGTACCTGCACGGCGGGCTTGCCGTTCCTTTCTGTCTGCTAATATCTTCTCTTCCAGCTCTCTCGAGCGGGCTTCGTCCTCTTCGGCTCGTCGATCCCCAAGCTCGCGAACCTGCTCCAGAAACTTGGAGACGTCCTCGGACATTGCTCTCTGGGTGTTGAGATAGGTGGGCAGCTATTTTATGGTTGTGTACATGGACCGGACCACGGAGGGCGGTTCTTCTTGCTCTTTTCTTTTCGACGGAGCGCGCGTGCAGCTGGTTGGCCGGTGTATTGTTTTGTTTTCACCTTTTTGGGTGCTCCTGTGGTAGAAAACCTTGATGAAAGAAGCAGATCGCAAAGTCGGGCGTTCGGCGCAAACCTAAGCTGATCAAATGCGAGCTTGCACAGGCAAATACGGCACGGCGGCTTTTGTTTTGAAAGCGGGCGCTCTCGGTTACCAAGCAACTTGGCGAGCTTTGGGCTGGAGAGGGGAGCTGGAGCCGCCAAAGTGGGTTCTACCATTGCGCCTCTGTCCGCCTATCTGCTGCCTCTACGCAGGAAGTAGTACTGCATCCCTGAATCCTCACCCAAAATTCTGGGGCTCAAAACGATAGACCCCCGTCCCATGATGCGCCCAATTGGTTCCAATGACAGTGTCAATGTTTACAACATCCGATGATCCTTGGATAAGCTTTTTTGGAACAAAAAGAAAAATCAACAGGAACGCGGCATTTTTTTTTCGTCTTGTTTTCTTTTCCCTCCAGCCATCACGAGTTTGTTCTTGCTAAAAGTAAACAAGCAAACAAGGCAACCGGGTAGACTAATTTGAGCCGCGATGCTTCTCCAGGCTAGAGCGAGCCCACAGCTCTTCTGACAAGTCAACATTGAAGGCCTGACAACAGCCTGACAGCCAGCCAGCCGAGTGCAAGTCTCCTTCTAGAGTATATAATGCGGCCATTGTTGAAAACAGATTTTACATGATTCTCTATCCCTCGAGTGACACATTGTTCTATCTCGAAACAAGAACGCAATGTATTCTTTTCAGCCCCATCGTGTCCTGTTTGGTGACTTGAATGCGACGGCAGAAGATATTGTTTCACTTTACATCGTACCCCAGTCGGCTGATGTGAGAGAGGGAAGCCCCTGCATCTGCAAGATAATGTAGGCACGTACCTAGAATTTGTCCGACGGCGAATGCGCTTGGGTGAGAGCAGAGCAGAACGTCATAGAGTATTGACTACACCAAGTTGCCGAATCAGGGACATTTCAATACCCTGCTTCGTTGTACGTATGGCTCAATTGTCCTGCCCATAGAGACATAACTGTCCACTCATCTTGTCCTATTCGAACAACTCAATGTACGTACCCCTTTTTCTCACCTACCGCCCTTCATATACATGTAGGTCCGGTGAAGCGTCCGAGGCGCAAAGCTCCGCCTAGGCAGCAAACAAGACCCCATACGGTAGCCCAACTCCCCCACAAACACCGACCGAATGTCGATCGCTGGTCGTGTTTAAGCCGCGACGGTGATCATATACCGAATCACGATAATTTGTCAATGCTTCAGTGCGTCTCAATAGAGAAACAGCCTTGCTTTCGCATCTTCAACCACCCACGCGAGCCCCTCCTTGAGGTTCCTCCCTGTCATGGCGCTACACTGCAAAATCTGCCAACGGTGAGTCCGAATGTCCTTCAACTGAAGACCTTGTAGAATCTCGTCCTCGGTCATGCACCCTTGGACATCGGTCTTGTTCGCAAACACCAAGAGACTCGCGCCCGACAGTCGCTGGCTACAGGTTAGTTGGATTGCCCTCGTGCAGCACAGCACAGCACAGCACAGCACAGCCTGCTTTAAAATCGTGGATTCAACGTACCTCTTCTTGCAAAAGCCCGTGTAGTTCTTCCTTGCAGTCGTCAATCCTCAGACGATCTGTTGCATCCACGACCCATATCAGGGCATCCGTTTTCTCAAAGTAGTTCCTCCAGTAGGATCGCAGCGTCTTCTGCCCACCAACGTCCCCTATCCACAATTGAGGCATTCAGCAAAGCCGAGCCACAGTGGTGGCATGTTGTTTTCTTGGCAACTCACAAATGTTTAACTTGTACCTGTCATCACATTAGTCGAGGCGCACATGACATTTTCTCGCCGCCGCCCAAGCACGTACCCGTCATAGTCGATTGTCTTGATGATGAATCCTAATGTCGGACTGACAGTATTGACATCTTCATTCATAATCTTCTTGACAATTGTCGTCTTCCCCGCGTTGTCAAGTCCACTGTGGCAGGTTAGTGTCAAGTTCTTGACGGCGCCATGTCGTCAAAGGCTCGCTTACAGCATCAAGATCCTCATCTCCTTATCCTTGAGCCTGGCTTTCCGGAGGATCGATAGCATCTTTACGGCTTCCCCGTCCTTCTTGGAGTCGTCAAGGGCGCTAGCTGTGTGTTGCTCTTGTGGCTCCTTTTCAGGTCATGTCGCTAGGAGGAAGATGTTGAGAGTGAGGAACAACCTGCGGTCCCCACCCACCAATCGCTCGAGACCCTTCTCTTCATTTGGTGCCGCCTAATAGACGATCGTCGTTGCCTTGTTCACGTGATGCATACACTGAAGGAGCACGATTTATTCAACCCCCTTCCTAGTGCATAGTATTATTTATAATCCTTTTATTTCATTTCTGCCAGAGCAATATGTCATGTTTATATTCGCAATATTGCTGCAATGTAGTACTACTGCCGCAAATGATATGCGTAACAAATTCAAACAAGCGACTTATCATATTTGTCCTATCGGTATGAAATTGTTACTTGTCTGGGCTGGTGGTCACCTTGACATCCTACAATACGCGATAGAGCAGTGAACAAATGTCGTATGCAGCAAAGTACCATCGCATTGGAGAGATAACCAGGGCGTATCTGTTGGTATTTCATTCATCTAGCCGAAATTCCCTCGCTTTCGAAGATAACTTTGATGCTCCGCTGAATCTACTGGCGTCCATGACATGGTCAAGACAGGAGCCGCAAGTTTGGCATTAGAAAAAAGATTACCATGCCAGATCTTGTCAATCGTCCCTAGAACACCATTCCCTAGGTTCCGGGAGAGCGCACCCAACGCCAGCAATGAATACTAGCCATAGCTAAAGCCGTAAGATGTTAAATTTCGAGGGAGAGATTATGTTTACATGAAGAGCATTATGAATTATCTTTCTTTTCTTGTTCTTTTTTCTCTCTCTCTTTCTCCTTTTTCTCTCTCTCTTTTTTCTCTTTTGCCCTTTTACTTTTTTCCTTCATTTTTAGCTTTATTTTCTTTCACTTTTATTTTCTCTTCTTTCTGTTATTTTTATTTTCTATTTTTTTTCTTTCTTTTGGTCTTATTATTATCACCCCTTTTCTTTCTTTCAACTCCTTTTTGCTTTTGCTTTATTTTTCATTGTAGTATTGTTTGCGTCCCACTGCGAATATGTGGCCACCCAATGTCGATCGCACAATTAGAACTTGTACGACTTCTTCATCTTGGCCAGCTCCTTCTTTGCCAGACGCCTGCCGTTTTTGGCCTCTCGGGATATGATCTTCCACAGTGGCAGGCGTAGATTCATTGGTATAAAAACTGGGACAGGATTCATCTCCTCGACAGAGCTTTGGTCGAGGATGTATGTTCGACGAATGTATGCCTGCGTCAAGCTTCTCGCGGCTCTGAGATTATGTTCCCTAACGTGGGAGATCTCATTTGTGTCGAAGTGGGCACAAATTCTGATCTTGAGCTCTGTGGTGAGGCCTCCACGATAGCTCCAGCGCACATCTTCAAAGTTGTGCATTGTCGAGTGGGAATCAATGATCTTGAACACAATGGTGCCACTGATGATCTCGGGGCGGCAGTGTGCGTCACCACCCTTTTGTTTCCAAGCTGGGACTGGTTTCTTCTCAGCAGTCTCTCCCTGCTTCTGGTCTTGCTTGCTGCGAGGAACATCATAGAACCATTTTCCCACTGGCAAAGACGTCATGTGAGCAGTCTTTCGCTTCTGTGTGGCGTTCTTTGGCTTATCCACGATGTTCCAAGCTGCGAAGACAAAATTAAGGAAAGAATTGAATTCGTCTTCATCGAGCTTCGCTGAAGACGGTCGTATTGACCTGGGAATCATTACGATCGCTTGATCCCATAAGCCTCGAGCGGCTCTGATATCCTCTTCGCTCAAGTCATCGGGAGAGACGATGGCTCGAGAAAAGGAGCTCTCACTAAAATGCAGCATTAGTTGCACGCTCGGATTAGATTCAAAGCTGGCAAGTATAAACGGTTGACTTACTCCAGAGGCTCCGGCATGATGAATGCGCGAGGTGGATACGCTTGACCAAGAGTAATCGTTGTGTTGAAAGCAGTGTTTGAGATGGGACAAGTTTTTTTGAGCTTCTCAAGGCTTGATATGTGGAAGGATACAGATATCACACTTGGGTATAAGACGGATTTGTGAAATCTTCAAGTGGAACAAACTCCCAGAGGTCAAAATGCTTCGTTTTTAACCACGCGGTGAAAGGCAAATGTATTATCCCCAAGTCGATCATTGTCAATGGAAACGAACAATAGTCATAATCAATAATTGACAGAGGAAACAGCGGATTGTTTTACGAGATTGATATTCTGGGGACTTGGTAAAACTTTTCAGATTGTTACAGGCTCCTATTCTACTTTGACTTGCGTCCTCTGTCCCTGCCCCACTTGCCAGAGCTACAAAGCATCTTTATTTCCCCCCTCGCGTTTGAAGCTATTTCAGCTTTCGATAGCTGTCCTTCATCCACGGCCTTCATCGGACAGCCTTGATCAAAACGCGAACGCGCAACTGTACACGCCCATCATCCTCCACGCACTCTTTCCCCCCTCCCCCCTCCCAGATAGCAATCAGGACCATGAAACTTTTTAATCTGGTACCTGAGCAATTCTTCCTGTCTGTACGACTTCCACCCATCATCACCATCAACGCTCACACCTGCCGCAGAAACGTCTTGGAGTGGAGTAGGTCTTCACACCACACCCTGTTGGCTGACATGGTTTTTTTAAACCCTCTCTTGTTCTATTCAGCTACGAGAACGGTCAATAAATGCTAATTTCTCGATTCCTGTAGCCTGCAAATAAATCCCCACAAGGTCAAAACATTTTTCAACCTTTACTGCGCAACATCATCACTCAACCTCGCCATTCTCCCTTCGTTGCGATACATGTGCCAAAATTTCGGCACCGATGCGACGAACGCAGGACTGTGAGCTGACGGCTAACCCCATCACCTGCTTCGATGAGTGCAGCCGAGCTATGAAGGAGAAAATCCGTGACTACTTCACCAAGTGGTCAAAGCATTTCAGGGAGAATCCTCGTCGCCTCACGGATGCAGAACTCAGGCGTTTGGCTGATGGATTGGTTTTCCGGGGATGGACGAGCGCCGAATCGCTGCCTCCCATCAAGTTCCACGGCCCTAAGCTGGATTCCAACAGGATTCAAGTCGGCCGCTTCATCAAGGTAAACCATCGAATTGCATTTCCGTGTCATAATTTATTTGAGCTAACATGGACAGGACTTGCCCGATCCGAAGAAGGCTCGCACAATATTCCAGGATGACCGGGAGAATGGTCTCTTCAATTTCCTGGGAAAGCCCTCGGACTACGTTGTCCCTCGAGATCGCAAGGCTGGAGAGGCTGCCTACATGAGGGCTCGCCTTGACTAGCTGCAACTCTCCGTCGTCCACGACTTCATAGATAGGAGTAGAAGGTGGGTTCCCGTCAGCCACATCGACTTCCGCAACGGTGGTGTGAATAAGCCATCGGACCAAAAACGATGGGCAGCGTACGTATTGGCCGACTCAGCTTTGGCCGACGCGTGTGACGACTGGAACCACAGCCTCTGTGTTTACCTGTGCCGTCGCAAACTTTTTGACTCCACGTAAGTCACATTAGCACACAATACACTGTGACGCATATGCTGACATCTCCAAGCCACCAACACAACTGGGATCCGACTCGAGAGAGAGAGAGGAGCGAGATTACAGCGACAAGCACTTCCTTCGAGCACCGCAAATCCACAAGCAGATGCCCGACATTTTCCGTCAAGTTCAGGCCGACAAAAATTATCTAGGGAAAAATGTCGATAAGGGAGAGATCCTCGGCAGATCTGGCGTGCACAGACTCCCCCCCTGCGCTGCCCATTGACGACGACGAATCTCTATTCGTAAACGGTTCTGCACCCGCCGCAGCAAATTAAAGAGAAAGAGAGGCACTGCTGATGGCGCAAGCCTTGCAAAGAATGGAGAAGGGATTACAAGGAGTCAGACGTTGGGCCATGCGCAGTCTCTTGACTTCGTATCAGAGGCAAGAAAAAGAGGCATGGGCCCAGAAAGCTTATGGACGCAAGCCATGTATCTCGTCTATGGCGAAAGCCATGCGACTTTTGTACGGGCGCAAGCCATGCAACGTATCTAAAGTACTCCGTAATTATCAATACAAGCGCTTCAGAAATGGTTTGATAGATAAATGTTAATCGAGTTTCTGCGATCATCGTCTGCTCCAGGTTTGGTGGACTGTATCTGAAGAATTTGCATGATCTTCACGATACATGACAGTGACCCAAGTTAATTGGCCTGTGGGAACCATAGCAAGCTTTTCAAGTCTTTCCTCGTAAGGGGAGACGAAGCTCACGATGGTCAACCGTACCAGCCAGCATCGTTCAGCACTCTTTGACACCCGCGAGCTGGCATATAGGTCTCGGTCTACTTATGAACACTTAATAATCATTCAAGTCGCAAGACGAACACTCAAGAAACGATGTTTGGTATTTGTCTACCCTTTCGGGTGAAGAGGCATAACGCTCTCGGTAGCTCAAAACCTTAATCGAAGGAATTCTAAAATCAATAATGAAGATGCAGAGCTTGCGCCCGTACAAGAATTTCATGGCTTTCGCCATAAAACAAGATGCAAGGCTTGCGCCTGCGACAGTGATCTTTCTCGTAAACAACACAGAGAGACATATCCACCTTTGACTTTCCTCTACAGGGAATTGTCGTGACTTACGTCAATCAAGGCTTTCGCCCAAAGCACCACAGCAAATCTTGGACTTCCTTCGCGTCCATGCTTGAAAAGATCTGTGTTGGTACGGCATGGCTTTCGCCAGCGACAATCGCAACATCTGCCCGAGTTTCCGCGTCCATGTCAGAACTTGTGTTGATCATTGCAAAATGCACACGACTACAAAGGGCATGGGACCTATCGAGCATACTATATCGTGACTTGCGTCATTGATGCTGTGGCTGCTGCTGTGTCGGCCATTGACTGTCGAGCCGCTGCAAGATTGGCTTGGATCTTGGGCTGCTTGAGTTGACCATTATACTTCTTGGTAGCGCGGTCCCGAGACATGAACTCTTCATTCTGATATAATATGAGCATCATGCTGTAATGGAATAGAGGATGGTTGAACTTACACAGACCCACTCAGGTTCAATAACCGTCACGTTACTAAACGTCGGCTTTCCGGCCACACTGACGAATTCGTCGTAGACAATCCATTGGTAGGCCGGAAAACCATTGCTTGCCCTGTTGATTGGCATGCTGGACAAGTCGTATCCATGGTAAAGGACGCTGCTCTCTGCAGATATGATGCCGCCCTTGTTGTAGTTGACCGTCATGTGCAGATCTGTTTTGATCTTTTTCACGGCCGATTGTGTACAGAGACCAATGGCCAAGGCCTTCCTGATGCGAACATGGTACTCATCAGCACTAATGTCGTCTGCGACTGTCGGGATGCAGCCAGGCCATCTCTTCTCGGCAAGTTTGATGAGCCGGTTGCGAAGCGTGCAAACACTGTCGAGGGCGGCTCGCGAAAGGAAGTTCTCAAGGCACCATTCGTTGAGGTCCACCTTCTTTTCCATGAATGCCTTGGCATACGCCTGCACAGCGTTGAGGCTCGTGATGTGGTCCGACAATGGATGAGCGAACAGGGCAGGGCCGTGCAGGTCAGCGGCATCGGCGAACTCCGTAGGGCGCACCCAAATGGGGTTCTGTTGGCTAGATGCAGCGACTATTGCGCACATCTCTTCCAGACACTCAAGCCTTGCGGCTGACTCCAAAACTCTGAACATCACTGGTGCAATAGGAAATTGCACGGCGAGCCGCCCATCTACCGTGGGCGAAAGGCGTGGGAGCATGACTTGACCGGTCTCATTGACCTGATCACTGCCGGTAATGAGGCGCCTGTATAACTCCAGTATCAGTACAAAGCTCATAGTATTATCCCATATCAGTAGTACTCACAAGTCTAGCAGCTCTCGGATGGCGCTGGCAATATTTTCAGGGTCCGGAGAATCTAAAAAGTCCAGACCAAGCAGGTTTCGATGGCCGGCGCAAAGCAGAGCCAATACCTCAGACTCCATTCTAGAGCTTCGTATCGCGGGCATGGTAGACTGCCGGAACTCTGTCTGAAATGCACTCTGCGTGTACAAGCGGATACATACTCCGTCAGAGATACGACCTGCCCTACCCTTGCGCTGATCAGCAGAAAAGCGGGAGATAGGCACACGCAGAAGTTGATTCATGCGTACACGCGGATTCCAAAGCATTTCCTTTGCCAGGCCCGAGTCGATGACAAAAACCAGATTTGGTATAGTCAACGAAGTTTCAGCGATATTCGTGCTGACGATGCATTTGCCATTGCTGGACTTATGGTAGATGCGATCCTGCAATTGTTTTGGGAGAGATCCGTACAGTGGAAGAGTCTCCATGCTGGGTACCTCGGCCGCCAGCATGCCACAAGTACGGATGATGTCTTGTTCTCCAGGCATAAAGACCAGAATGTCGCCAAGCTTCTTGCCACTGTGTATCTGGGCAATAATCCTCACAGCCGTTGTCACAACGTCGGGGCTGGCACACAGCTTGTCGAGGGTTGCGTGGTTTTCATGGCTTTCGCCAACCTGCCGTGTCCCAAGGGAATACCATGCCAACAAATTAAGCCCAACGAAGGATGTCGCTGGGAGTAAGTAAAATATAGGTCACATAAACAGAGACTAAAAGACAATTGCGAAAAAAAAGTTTAAAAAAGAGAAAGAAAAAAAAGAAAGAAAAAAGAGAAAGAAATAAATAAAAAAGAGAAAGAAATAAATAAAAAAGGAATAAAAAAGAAATAAATAAAAAAGGAATAAAAAAGAAAGAAATAAACAAAAGAAATAAAAAAGAGAAATGAAAGAGAAAAAATTAAAAGAGAAAAAATTAAAAGAAAAGAAATTAAAAAAGAAAAAATTAAAAGAAAAGAAATTAAAAACAAAAAAAGAGAAAAAATCAAAAAAGAGAAAAAGAAATAGAAAGATTTTTATTTTAAAATATTATTATATTGCGCCCAGTTAAATTAATAGACTATATAGGCCGGAAAGGATACGTTGATAAAGCACGACGCTCAAATCTCACAGTACGATGGGCCACCTGAGCACAGAGCCGGCCAATCTGCATTGGTGAGAGCACGCCTTGACAAGATTCTAGATTCAATTATCCACGACTTTGTCGATGCAAAGGGTAGATGGGTACCTGCTACCTACATCGACTTTCACACTGCCGACAGCCAGCCCGATGATCGCAAGATTTCCAGGGCCTACATTCTTGCCGACAGAGCCTGGGCCAATGCAATTGATGATTGGAACAAAGATCTGTGCATCTACCTCTGTCGTCGCAGACTCTTCGATGCCTCGTAGGTCCCGACAACACACGATCGATTTGAGTATGCTGACATATTGAAGACACCCAAAGACACCTTGGGATCCGATACTCGAAAAGGAGGAGTGCAACCTCGGAGAGTCACACTTCCCTCGAGCACCTCAGATCATCCCTTTAGGTCAAGAAATCATCGATCGTCTCAGTAAGCGAATTCGGTTGGCTCAAACCGGAGCCAAAATTCGTGGCAATCATGGCATTCATATTTTTCGAGCAAAAAGGAAGGACATTCCGTCCTCCAACAAGGCTTAATGGGACGGTGAACACATTCACGAACATATGCCAAGTGCATATTTAAGAATATTCGATGGACTCGAGAAGACACTAGGGGAAACTGGCGAGTTGGCGGAAGTCAAGCTTTTTCATTTCAATGTAAGCCAAGCGATTCCAATACGGCGGAAGCCGAGTATTGCCATTGTGGCGAAAGCCAAGCAATGTCGATTTGGCGGAAGCCAAGTGTCTGGCACGACAAGTTATTGGCAATCTTTAGTTCAGAGATGGGACTGCGGTTACGGATTGCAAATAAAACATTAAAATGTCATATAATATCCACATGTTCAATGTGAAAAGCATGTCTGATACCTTTGGTGATAAACAGAGAGCCCACATTATTAACTCGATGCACGTCGGTATATGCTTGGCTTCCGCCAGTATGCGTGCAAAATTTGCTGGAGTTCCCTCCGTGCCGATGACTTTACAGCGTCACGCCAGCCAGTGAGGAAGTGACGGCTGTTGTGTCGGCCACTGTTTTGTGGGCTGCCTCAAGGCGGGCTTGTATCTGGGGGTGCTTGGGTTGCCCGTTGAACTTCTTCGAAGCTGGCTTGCGGGAAAGGAAGGGCTCATTCTGTCCAAGCATACGAGGCTGAGATTTGTTACGGATGGGCTGTTGCTTATCGAGACGCAGAATGATCAGAGCTTCAGCGGGTATTCGTGCATTATCATCGACGAGGTACACGAACCGAGCATGCAGACTGATATCCTCCTAATAATGCTCAAGAATACCGTCAAGAGCCGCGATGACCTCCGCGTTATCCTGATGTCTGCCACCGTGGAGGCACAAAAGTTCCAGGTACTTTGATGGTGCTTACATTCTGGAGGTACCAGGTCGTCAAGGTGGTGTTACTGAGTACTAGGCATTTTCACTTGAAATCAACGGACTTGACATTAACGGAAAGCAGCCTTTAATATATGGATTCAAATTGTTATATACAGATTTGCAAGCTACGTGCTCGGTTTGTAAAGAACACACCTCTGGTCCATCCAGCTTGTTGTCGCCAAGGTCATTGTTGGACGGTTTTCGTCCGTCTCTCCGGGACTTGCGTTCCCTCCAAATACCGCAACGGCATCTTGGCGCCACCCCGGACCTGCAGAGGGGTTCTTTGCAAACCTACTCCATGCTTGCTGCATATCTTTTGACAGGCTGGCCTGGAAGTCCGTCGCATTTTCACGCTGGTATGTGCCAAAGGCCAGTGGTATTTCCGAGGCGTGGTATGCACCTGGGACGAGCTCCGAGTTGGCAAAGCTGGCGTTGAAGTAGTACCGCCAGGAAGGAATACCGACAGACATGGAGTCATTGTACACAAAGCCTGCGGGGCAGCCAAAAGAAGATTCAGTCATGACTGCAGTGGCCTGATCTTGTTGTGTTTGAATACGGCTGCCTGGCACAATCGGGTAATACTCCAAGAGAGCCTTTGCCTTGGCCTTGCTGAAGCCGTAATGCTCTTGTAGAAAAGACACGGCGCTCTTGACACCCGTGGTGTAGATGGCACCCTCTTCAGCGTTGCTACCAATGAGTATCGGGACACGTGCCATGATTGAGCTCTCGTTTGTCGAGTGAAGCCTATTCTGGCGTGGTGCCTTGGCCCAAGTCGCGCCGTCCTGGATGGGAGGACCAAACCAGATTGAGCGGTTCTCGGATACGGTCTTCAAACGTTTCGCCGAAGCCGTCGTCATACAGTCGTACTTTTGAGTGGCAGTTCCATTACAGCCAACGGCCTCGGCAAGAGTTCTGTATGCCCATCCGGGAATGGCAGCTCCACCATTGTAGCTTGCCTGGCCAGACTCCATGATGGCCGCGCGGAAGTTTAACGGATCCGGAGGTGCTGAAACCATCATATCGACGATGGCAGCACCAGCGCTTTGACCGATGAGTGTAATCTTTTCGGGATCGCCGCCAAAGGATGCAACATTGTTCCGAGTCCATTCGAGGGCGAGGCGCAAGTCAAGCAGTCTGGAGAGTCACGTTACTATAGATTCTTCCACACTGGGTCAGCAGCGCCTGTAATCTTACCCCAGGTTTTGGTCTGGATCCTCGAGCTGAGGATTGGCAGGAAAACCATGAACGTTCAATCGATCTGATAAACATGTTAATTTCTTGATACTCCGAGAGATTAGAGAAGCGTAGGGAAGATGGGACAAGGTTCCGCGGGCTGGTATATAAGCTGGAAGCGCTAACGAGTACCCCGCCAGTGGGCCGGGTATCCCCCGCGTTACCCGCTAGATGGAAAACACCACCCACTAAACTTACAATTTGGAGACACTAGAATAACGTCTTGATCCCCTGCAAAGCTCGAACCATCGTAGTTGGGGTTGGTGTTTGCTCCAGTACGATAGCTGCCGCCATAAATCCAAAATAGAACCGCCTTTTTCGTCCCATTAGAGACAAATGGAGGAGCGTAGACATCGAGAGTTAGGCAGTCTTCTCGCTCTTCCGGGGGTGCAGTATTTGGTCCCACAACGAGCGTCATCAAATTGTCGTACGTCGCATCGTTGTAAATGTAGTTTTGGTAGCAAGCGATGTTCTGTTTCGTCGTGGCATTTCGAGCCGACGTCCATGGCTTGGGTTGCTCGGGCGGGCGAAAGCGTTCTGGCTTCGCACCATACGGTATTCCGTAGAAGTTGTATGATGTCTTATTCGAAGGCAGCTTCGTGACCGAACCAATGACTTCTCCCGAGTCTATCGTCGCACGGGGATGCTTTGCTGCTGAGCTTGCAACGCCAGCTAGCAATGCACCGAGGAAAAGACTGCTGATTGACAGCATACTCGCTATCCAATTGAGCGACAGCGAGCAGTAAGACTCCAAATTCCTTGCCCAGGTCGAGTAGCCTGAGATGAATCGCAGTACGAACTCTCGCGACCCTGAGAAGACTTACCACAATTGGTACGAACTTGAGCGGCCCAGGTTTGGATTATATTCCTCAGCTTGGCATTGATCAAGCTTCGGGTGTCGGCCACGTTCCATTTTCATTAGGCGAACGATCTCATGTTTGTGAGATTGTCCGGGATGAGAACCTTAAATGCGTTGCATTCGCGAAACAACCACCAATAAAAGTATTCAGCTAAATGCGTAATTTTCAAATTGGAAATCTGGATGACCGATGCAGTTCTCACAGGTGTCTATCAATAATATCTGATGCATAAGAAACTACCTAAACGGGCAGGTCCCGGGCCGCCAAGCTTTTCTTGACACTATGTTGAGAACATGTGCTTTCGGCTCCATCCGAAGAAAGCATTTCGCCTACCATGACAAATGGGCCCGAGTGTTTGAAATGGATGATTCAGTCATTTCTTGACATCGGGGTGCATCGGGTGTGTTGTATTATAATGGATTCATTATACTGCATTCGGGAGCTGGTCAGATTGTTATCAAAGCTTGATCCGACGTCCAGATCCTCTTTTTTTTCTTCTCTTTTCTCTTTATTGCAGATGCTCCGGGAGGCGGATCTCAATAACGGCTTCCGACCCTTCATTCTTCTTTTCATCCGTGTACCAAATCTTTGTAATAACCAGACCTGCTGACTCCACCAATTGTGTCCACTGTGACTCGGTTCTTTCTATCCCCGAAAGCATGACAAGCATTGCGATATCCATGTAGACTGCGCGAATGCCGACGTTGGATTCTGGCAGGACGTAATCGTTGATGAGCAGAATCGAGTCCTTGTTCATAGCGGCAGCCGTATTCTTCAAGATGCTTCTGCTCTTCTCGTCATCCCAATTGTGGAGGATCTGCTTGAAGTAGTAGATTTTTGCGCCAACCAATGGCTGTGGCGTAAAGAAATCGTAAGCCATCGTCTCAATACCGTCAAGCTTGGTGATGACATGTGGCTGATCCTATTCGAGGGGTGTCAGTAATTGCTCTCTTCAATTCGCATCGGAACTAAATCTAGAGTAATATGGCACTGCTTTTAGAGCAGAGAACCCGGGGAAAACAAAAAAAGAGCTGTCCTTGAATCCTACTCAAAAGACATGCCAATAGAGGAAGAGATGATCCAATTTACTAACCTGGACAACGATGCGACCGGGGTAATCTTTGAACTCTTGGCGAAACTGCTGCGACCAATATCCTTGGCCGCCGGCCACATCAACCAGGAAGACATCGCCAATGTCGGTAGACTTGACCTTTTCCCTGACTGGGAAAATGTCAAACCACCTGTCCCAAGTAGCCTCGCGGCGAGCTGTCATGAAGTCGTCGAAAGCCTTGCCGTACTCGGGGTTCTCTGCCGTAAACTCAAACATTGATTTGCCAAATGTAAAGGTGTGTACATCTATTTCATCAAAGTCGTGAGCCTTGGCGATTGGTCCCATGTTGCTGCAGAGCTTCAAAACGATATCCGTGCTAGTGAATGTTGATTAGAAATTCATCTCGCCATTTGATTTATCAAGTCACATACTAATACTTGACGTCGCCAAGAATGCCCTTCTTGACACTAAAGTCTGTCGTCGCGTTGGCCTGGTATGTGCTGGGCCCAACCTCGTCGGCAATCCCGATGATGGTGATGAGTCTCATTATCCTCACTAGAGACACATTGAATTAGTTATTTTAAACCCACTCAAGAGTTGGCTTCTTTTTTCTGTACCTATAAGCAGCTCTTTGGCCCCCGTGGCATCACTCAGCTCTCGGGCAGTGCTCTTGCGTTTTGCTGCCAGCGTCTGCAAGATGCCCTTTTCTTGAGCCACGCGCACGCACACGTTCTGGTAAGCTTGGAATCGCATCCTCATCATCTTCTCCGCCGGTGTGGTGACGATATTTTGCAGTCTCTGCACGCCCTTGAGTAGCTCGAGGTGTGCATATTTGTCGCCATTGGCTTCTCTTTGCGCTGCTTGTTGCAGTTCCGCCAACAGTTCAAGGGTGGTAGACATGACGAAATACTGGACTTGGTTGGAGTTCAGAGTTGTGAGTGGTCTTGAACCTATTTTTTACGTCTTTTCGAATGGATGCAAGCCAGTAAATCCCGTCAGCCCTTGGTGTCTATATTATCTTTCTGTTTACCGAGGCGACAACACCACAAGGATGTCTATCTAGGTCCACTCACCTACATGGGAGGGCAGGGATGGATTTGAACGTTGCGACGGAACACTCTCCCGCAATCCATGTTGTTGCATAACGGATCCTGGGCCCAGAGACCCTGAGGGTCATGGCGCCATACAACTCATTGTTGCCACGCAATAGGACAGCATGTAGCAATCTGGCATGCCCCGTGTTGCCTTCATCCGATGGTGGGCTGCGAGACTGATTCTGTTACCGGTTCAACTAAACACATTCTGGCCGAAACCCAAGAACCGGATGTAGTAACTAGATTAATAACTGCAATATTTTACTCAAAATATCCCTTTTGGCACTATAACCTGATACCGCGCACAATCACTGCATATTGCCAATCCATCTTATGCACGTGCCTGTGTGATCAAGCAATACCTCTGATTATATACTCGCTGTGCCTTATACTTGGGCTGCTTCTACAGGCGATAGACAAAACTCTTGTTCTCCTTGTCGGTCAATCCTGCATATGCCTTGCTGGCTTCAACCTCGTCTTCTACGACCTCAATAGTTCTCGTCCTGGACTTGTTCATCCAGTGATAATAAAATGCACAACATGCGCTGACCAAGATGGATACAGCCCACATGATGACCAGCGTCAGCTTAGCCGGTTTGAACTGGGGGGCATCTTTGGCTCTAAAGGTCAGAGGCCCAATAATGTTGCCTATGGCGAATGCAGCATTCATGCCAGCCGTAGCGTAGGTCCTCTTGGTGTGTCCAGCGGTGTTGCAAGTGAGCCACTGAAAGGCAATGTTGGAAGCACCAGGAAGGACATTGATTAGATACATTCCAGCCAGGAGGCCAGGCCTGTTGGTCTTGGGCAGGAATGATAGCAGTGCTGCGGCCATGGTCGCGACTGTACCTGCTCCTACGTTGATCAGCCATCGTCTACCGTGATATCGGACGATCACTGCGGCGCTGAGTGTCCAGATGATATTGACAACTCCCGAGGGAATGTTGAGGAGGGCAGCCTGCTTGGGCGTGTAGCCAAAGGAAGTAAGGATGGTGGCAGAATAGGCAGTGACAACACCTTTAAATTTGATGAGTTAACATGACACAGACAGATGGAGCGACAGTCCTATTCTTCCAAAGTACTTACCGGAACCAGATGATTGCAAAAGAATCAACAAGAATATGCCCCAGCAGCCTGGATCGAGCAGTCCCTCTAGGAGTTGACCGGGGTGGAATTTCCGGCTGTCAATGCCAGTCTGATTCACTTTGATGTGCTCAAGTAGAGCAATCTTCTCAGTATTTGATAGAAACTTGGCCTTCATTGGTGAGTCGGGAACAAAGAGCAAGACGAGCAGACCGACAGTCATGGTGACTAGACCGAGAACCAGGAACATGGTCTTCCAGCTAGATAGGGGAGCCGTGGGCGACATGTGCTGGAAACCAAAAGAGATGAGAGCTCCCAGAATCTGGCCGTTACCCATGCCCATGTACCAGTACGCGAATCGCGGTGCCTGCTCGCTGTAGGTAAAGTACTGGCTGCTCAGGAGCATCAAGGCGGGCGGAATACCAGACTCAAAGGCACCACTGAGAACGCGAACCGCCACAAGCCCGGCATTGTTGCGAATGGCGGCATGACAGGCGGAGCAGAGACCCCATCCGATCAGGTTCACGGCCAGACACTTGGCGACTGGGACGCGGTTGAGCAGCCACATGTTGGGGAGTGAAAACAGCAGAACGGCAATGTAAAAGGCTGAAGATGCGTTGGAATAGTCGTTGCCCGCCAGATGCAAGGAGGCTTCCAAGCCCATGATTTTGGCATACTGTCCCGATCAGAACCATGTCGCGCAAGATTGTTTTGAGAGACAACTCACGTTGAGAAGAACTTTGTCAATAAAGTTCAGGGTATAGCATGCGCACAGGAACGGCATCAATCGAAGATCAATCCGTTTACGAAGAGATCTGGCCAAAGACGAACTATTGGGGTTCTCTGCCTGGACCTCGCCTTTGTGCTGTTTGAGAAAATCGAGCGCATCGTCTTGCCGTTGACTGGCGATCTCTGAGCCAGTCCTGTCAATGGTGGACACTGACTCTGTAGGGACCGCTTTCATTTCGCTGGAGATGTTGTCGCCGTTTTGTGACATAGTTACTGACTGGATGCCAACAAAAGATGGGATTCAGACAAAATTCAGAATTCTAGAGGGAAAGAATAATCAGACGCCTGAGGAGTTGCTTTGCCGTGGCGATTCCCAACAGGGTTCAGTCCAGAAGACTCGCTTAGATGTATGTGGAAGGCAGCAGCAGGGTTTCTTGCAGACTCGACCTATCTACGGCTCCGGTGGTCTTTCGACTGAGACAAGTCACTGTTTGTTGTCTTTTCAACATCTACTACTTACCAAAAAAAGAGTCCCGAGTTAACCGAGATGAGTTTCACGGTGTCTTATATGACAATATAAGCAAGTGTATAGAGAGCCCCTGCATAGGCGTCGTCGCGACAAGTCTACTGTCTGACCTCATACATGAGCCGTGGATCTAGAACAAGTTTGGAAGACCTTGCGCGTCTTTTCTTTCATAACATCCAGGCAGCATACACCTGGGATCATGTCCCTGCTCTGAAATTTTGGAAGCAACATCGGTTCCAGATCCCCGGCCCGGTGGACTTTAATTCGCGGGAAGCCTAGTAGTCCAATCAGTCTACCTCCAAGGCAGGGAAAGACCTCCTCGCAAGCCCTGGCATAACTTGAGCCCATTTCGACAAATCATTGTCCAAACTGAGCCTATCGCGAATATGCGCAGACCCCTGTCAACACAATATCCTGGCCTAGTCCACCGGATGTAACTCCCCGCTGCCGGCATGACGGTAGACTAATCTATTGGACAGCTGCACTGCTACTGGGCATGTTTCTCCCTCATGTAAATGCTTGACTGGGATCAGTGGCAACCATCGTATGATACGGTCGCAAATGCGCAGGACCACATCCGGGAGCAAGTCAACCGTATCCACCGGAACGCAGAGTTCTGTTGTATATACGGACGTGGATGCCTTCAATTGTTTTCCAGGGTCATATCATGCTCAAAGGTGCTTGATTTGTGAGTTATGCTCTTGAAAAGTCCAATTGATTGGGCCTGGCTGCGGTATGAATACAGTGCAATCAATTGCCGGTTCTATATGTGTATGACAACCATGCCTGCTTCGAGGATGCAAGTTGTTCTTGTAAGCAAGACTTGGCCTCTCGAGTCCTAGGATCGACTGATTCGCCGTAAGTTATGGCGGCGACGTGTCTACACTGTAAAAGAGAAGGCAACAAGGATATCGACGGCCTCTGGTACAAGCGGTAGGAACACATATTATTACATATCCTAGCACTGAAACCCGTACAATGTCCCAACTTCCAAGGTTGGATAGGAGTTCAACCTTCGGTGCTTTGGAAAGAACCTGGCAAGGAATCCTGACCAGCAGCTGGCCGGTGAGAAGAAAATGTACATCTCTGTACAGATCAGACTCGGCTAGGTTATGACACAAGACAAACAATAAATGCTATGTTGTTTTCAAGCCCAGAAAGCCCACAAATAGTCAACAAGTAATGGCTCCTCTCTGCATTTCTATAATCACAACTCTGAAGTGATCTGACTTAGTTTCCCCCTCCAACCCTCATCTTGGAACACGGCTGTACGAAAGATGACTTGGGTAGTGAACGGATCAGAAGAGCTTGACGCCAAGTCGGAGTATCGACTAGTCGTTGGCCTTTGTGTCTTCTCTTCCATTCTCATGGTGGCCGCAGTTGCTACAAGATGCTATGTACGACGAAAGAAATTCGGATTGGATGATGTGCTTGTAGTGTTAGGAGCTGTAAGTGAAGCGGTCCTCTCAAGTCATTGGGAATCTTTACTGACTTTGCATGCATAGGGACCAGCTCTCGTGTATAACGCCTTTGCCATCGTTCGTAAGTACCAACTGAATGAACCCGAGGATACCAAGACGTTGAACTGAAGACCCAGAAACCAAATACGGCCTTGGACTACCTTTAGCAGATCGTCCGGCTGCTGATAAGGAGACTTACACCTTTTACAATTATGTCGGGCGGCCATTCCTGATGACTTCCTTGACCTGCTTCAAGGTCGCCCTTTGTATCACCTATCTCCGGATGATTGACCGAACCTCGTACCGCACGTATCGCATCACTGTTTTCGTCTACATTGGTCTTCTTATTGCGTTCGGCCTATTCGGAATCGGCTTCAACGTTTTCAATTGCACACCGGTCAGTAGTCAATATTGAGATATCGCTATATATGCTAAGACCACGTTAGATGGCTAAAAACATTCACCCTTCGATTCCAGGTAGCTGCCTGTCTTACGCCCCCTGGAATCTCTGGACCTGGAGCCTTAATTCTGTCCTAGACGTTGCTGTCTTCCTCTTACCGATTCCCCTCTTTATGAAAATGTCAATCGACTTCAAGCTTCGACTCGAGCTCAGCATTCTATTCTCCTTGTCGCTGATAACCACGGTAATATGTATATTCAAGACTTGTCAGATCCCACGAATTGCTTGGGGAGACGGAAATTCGACGCAATTCGTCTATCTGAGCGCTCTAGAAGTCAATGCTGGAGTAAGTCTTTTCAAGTTTCTTTGTTACTTTTCTTTTCTTTTATTTCTCAATTCAGTTCCATGGATAGTACTGACAAACTTGTCGTCCAGCTCATCATCAGCTGTCTACCGCACCTCAAGCCACTCTACAACTGGGGCAAGACCTGCTCCTCGAGAAGCCACAGTCGAAGTACAAAATCAAAGAGCTACAGGATGGATCGACTGCCATTCCGGTCTAAAACCGAGACCGAGGTCAAGGTACATCGCCATCGCAACGAGAGCGAGACAGAGATTCTCCGGCCTGGAATAACAAAGGTTACACACATATCAGTTGAGCATTCCCCGGATGGGTCGACGGCGGGAGACAACCAGCGAATGACATAGTGCTTGGGACCACAGGAGGTCGTTTCGAATCATCTCCAATGTTCATAGAGACTTTATCAAAGAAGCTATTGTTGTTACTTTATTAGTATGGCGATGGTGGGCATTATTATTCATGCTTGATGGGAATCACGGGATTGTCCACGCCAAATGTCCTAAGGTTAGTTGCATACCTAGTATGCAGGTATGAGAATGCTATCTAAGTTCTATAATTGTGCTATTGACGCCTCATTAACCTTTTCCGGTGTTTTGCACATTCATCGGGTCTCAAGTCCCATCGAATCTTAATGCAGACTTTCCCCGTGTGGTATTCGGCTATCAAAAGACCGAACAGTCGAGTTGCGTTCAAGGATCATTAAGGTTAGCGGCGCATCCCGGTAGCCGCAAGAAAGCCCAGACTGAGCATATGGCCCCAGGACCCTGAAAGAGTGGTCCGTTGGTGCCTACCATGCCTACCTCTTACTCTGTACAGCGAAGGATTTGAGATGGTGTGTAGAGTACCTAGGTAGGTATTGTAGAGGTAGCCACCATGCCGGCAGCAGCCAAGCTTTACATGGTCGGCAATGAGTGAAAATTATCGTTCTCGACACAAAGTCTTGTCAAATCTTAAATATGCAAATTCCCATCTCAGTTGCTGTCGTCAATAGGAGGGTCCAGCAAAAGCTTTGCCGCCCAAAAGTTTTGTGATCTAGCTTGGAACGATGCTCCGTGTCGATCATTGGAGCCACTATAGATGCATTGGAGGCGGGAAACCAGACAGTTTAATCCTGGACCATGAACACAGTGTTGTATTATGACCGTCACAACCAGTGGTAGTAATGGGTAGAGAAAGCCTCTATAATTGCTAGTGATGTATCTCCCAATCCAACAGCCACATCTCTCCAAGAACGTGCTCACGGTTACTCGCATATGAAACACCTGTAGAGGTACTCATTTTCCTAGAATATATTGTCTTTTTCTATAGGGGGGCCACTGTTACAACTCAGAGACTCGATCTCGCTGGACAAACACTGCATATAATGAGGTAGGTCAACCAAAACGTGATCAACTGTCTGCCTAATACACCAATGCAAACAGAAACCCATATACCAGTCGCGCGATTGCTGCTAAGTTTTCCAGCAGTGCTTATTATTCTTCAACGCAGAGTTTTGGATGCCGAGCCTTCTTAGTTTAAAAAAAAGAAAGAATGTATGAACATCGACCAGGATTAACCGCGTTGACCTAGGTTTTCTCGCTCACTCGTCTTTTTTGCATACACAGCAATGCCAAGAGTGATCATAGAATGCCAAAAGCCTGCTCATGATCACCATTTCTCTTGCTTGACACAAGCGTTTGCGTTGCTTTCATGTGTATCGATTCCACGCGATACAGGACCCGTGAATACAGCTAGTCCCTCTTGACCACGGGTCTCCTGATCATCGATAAAGACACCAATGGCTCGGTGGCGGTCAAGGATCGAAGGTATTCTGGTGCAGATCCGTGGAGCGACGATAAAGTTGTCCTCACTATAGCTTCGCTGTCCATCATTTGCAGGATTCCAAGGATATGTGTGCCTTGAAATTGTGTCAGGAGGTGCACCGGACTTGCGTTGAATAGATTTTACTTACGATAGGTCGAAGATTTTGCGGCGGCAGAGGTAGACGCACAACTGACTGTTCCACGTGTCGCATGCCTTAGCCCAGGCAGTATCGGCAGTCTTGTATGCTTGACAAAGCTTAGCTTCCGATGGCATGTTGTTCTCGGTACCAAAGTCGATGAAGCTAACTGGAACAGGTTTTCCTTGTTTATCAAAGAACTCGTGGACGATTGATTGCTGTAAACTATCCATCTTCGCTCTCAGGAAGGCAGGCTGACCAACCCTGCGTTCAGGAGGTGGGTTGGGATCGCGGTATCGACCCGAGTACCCGACTACGTCGTTTTCAAGTCCCGCGGCAATAATGGTCACCGTAGTACCATGGGAGGGTAGAGTCTCAGCATGTTAGCTGTGCTTTCTTGCGGACTGATAAGGTGAGAAAAGTATCGGAAGTTACCTCCTTGAAAACGCCGACTCGAACGTAAGAATCTTGGATGACAGGCAGCCGGAAGACCGGAGTCAAAATAGGTTCGTCGCTAGCCCAGGTCTTGAAGACCATGTTATCGACATGCTCCTCAAGCTTCCAGTCGCGGAGCATGTCAGGTTTCGTCATATGATGCTTGCCCCATTGCTGGAAGTATGAACGGATGGCCCGAATCATCTCAGGAGAGCATTTGTCGAATGTCGTGATGGCTGGGCCATCCAAGCCATAGTTTGGCATTTTGTCCCCTGTGAGTTTGTGTTTGGATGCTTGGATTGAATATGACGGACGGAGGTTGAGTGGTGGTGCAAGGTGAGAGTGGGAAGGAATGGCTTCCAAACAGTTGGAAGTTTAAAGACTATTGACAGATTCCGTAGCGCGGGGCAAGAAAGAAAATTTCATCAATGCAGGTCCGAAACAATCTGCAAACGGCAGTTGAACGAGTCTACCGTGTTGGGTAGTTGGTTGGCGTGCTAGACAATCAGAGAATGATTTATTGCCAAACGAACAATACCCTTCGCAGCCGTGTCAAAATGACATGATCTCGATTGTTCACGGTTTATGCTGACATTAATGTGGCGGAACGAGAAGAGGGGAAACGCAAATGAATTAAAGATTAATGAAGAGACCGGAGCTTCTCAGCAACTTGCGATGACAAGTCCTTGGTGTGCTTTTCGCGATCTCGCTGCTCATGACAAACGGACAAAGTAATCATTTCTTTATGAACTTCTGGGAAATGCAAATGTATGAGGGTTTTAGATATGGTCGAAACCAGTGTGAGCGGCTAGATGGACTTAATGCATCTTTGGGAGGGGTGTATGGAACTCCTACTTTGCTGTACTTATTGTCTTAGTGTCATGATGACCTCAAAAATGGGTGCAGGAAACTTGGCAATCTGAATGCTAGATAGAACTGATCTTTGATGCTTTTTGAAAATAATCTTGCTCTGGTTTATTATTAGTACAAGGGCCGGGACTTGCTTGGCACCAAAAGCTCCGTGCAAACGCAGTTGCGAAGTACACACGTTGTACGATCAGGCAAGATTCCTTACAGTATTAAAATCTCTTTGTCCACAATTTATTGACTCTTCAAATTTATCCATCAATCAACCAGTTGTTTCTATTTACTATCACATGTCCATCCAGTCCAAAAGAAAAATACGGAAACAGTAGATTTTCCCTTTCCTGTGTACGCCAGGAAATGTACGCCAGATGGATGAAAGCAAGACGAAACGCATCGACAAGGTGACAGACAACTCCCACCTCTTCGCTTTCTCACCACTACCGACTTGTCAATGTCGAGTAGTCCCAACCTGCCACCGAGCAGGTAACTCAGGCTGCTCAGGAGGATGACTCTACTGCCGAGGACGCTCGGGTAAGACTGGGACATTTTGAAATATACTCTAATGGATTATCAACTAAATACTGACCGAGGTCAGTCAGAAACCCTCGGTAGAAATCGTGCTAAATCAACGCAGAGAACGTTGCCGGAGTAAGTAGTTCTAGGCCACGCTTCTCACGACCGTATCTAATCAGAATTAGACCAAAACCAATAATACCCAGGCGCCAGCACAGACTACTGAGCAGGCCGTGGTTTATGCCCAGCCGGTTAATCAGCGCAACTTTGGCTGCCCAAAGACATGGCAGCACAACATGAGCCGCCCAGAAGATCATATCGCGGCCATTGAGATGGACATGATTAAGCAATCGTCGCGAAATCGGTCACCAGGCCTCTTTCAGGGTCTGCTAATCAACATAAGCATCTCTCCAAGACCCCTGCCGCAGGAGTACGTCTCACCTCAAGATGAGTATAGTGAGTTTTATATCGCCATAATGTCCGAAGGCCTGCCCAGAAGTGTAGCGATCGTGCGCCTTGACAAATCGACTGGAGAGCCTGTATGGTTGGAGTCCGACCAAGAACTTGTCCCGTGTATAGAGCCTTTCGCCTTCCCTTTCCGTGAAGTAGGTATAAGGAGAAGTGACGGGGAGGGGATGGTATCTCCGCCGCTAAATCACTGGTGATACTTGGTGATATGACAGATACCCTAATATTGACTTTCCGAGACCATCAGCATCTCCCTACCACACCTCCTGGTGTTGGTGCAGGTTAAAACGACCACGATGTCTTTAGTGAGTGGCAGTCGGCCGGAAGGCAAGTCAAAGTAGAAATACTCCAGCGCAAGAAGTGGCATGTCAAAATTCCTGAGACCTTTGCATTTGTCTTGTTAAATGATCCTAGCAATGTCATCATTGTCAAGGAGACGCTGGAGCATACAGAGGAGAATCCAGACCTTAGCAACCTGTCTCCCGTGCTTATACTACTTTAAACATCTACAACTCCCTGGACATAATCAATTTTAACAAAAGAAAAAAAAAACGATTTCTCACGTCTTTATGCTTATTTCTTTTCTTATTGTGTTCTTTTGCTTCAAATACTTGATTTGTATCGTTGTTTATCTATCTAAACCCTTCTTTGTGTATAAAAAACAAACATGGCTACCTTTTGAAATAACCCCTGCACAAAATAACATTCTGCCCGCTTATAATACAAATTTCTCTGCCTAAATGGATCAAGCCGTGTGCAATGGATTTGCTTGTATCGTACCGTTCCATCGGATTAATTCGAGGTCTCTTCCAGGCCGCCTGTCAAACTCTTCAAAGCTGCCTGTCGCCGACACTGGGTTTTGTTTAAGAACTTTGGCAAAGAACTCGCGTGCTGCCACCTATTAATGGGTTAGTACAAAGCCCAAAGCACTTGTCACACAAAATATCATAAATGACTGACATTACTCTCCTCCCAGGCCAATCCGAGCCCCTCCTGGACCTCTTCTCCTGGCTCTACACCTGGGACGATGAGCGGCAGTAACTGATGTCTTTGCATCTCTCGCGGCAATTCCCACCAGGAGTTAGTGACTGCTTTCCAAAATTCAGTGCCAAATCCCTGTCTCCGGAAATCTGGTTTGATGAGAATCTGTTGACGGTCAGCTACTTGGTTGAAAATGGGGACTTGGCAACGAGGGAACAGGAGCCTCTCACCTCAGCCTCTGGCCACCCGGAGCGTGGAGGTTCGACTTTTGGAAGACCACCTTCCCCAATGAGTTCTCCTGTTGAATTCAAAAAGGCGCCGAAATAGTAGTGTTCTTGATCATGACTTTCCATCCACTCTATGTGTGCTCTCGTTTCTTCAATGTCATTATCCGTTCTACCCCTCGTGGGGGAGTGGATCTGAGTCAGTGGACAACTTCGCAGGGCGTGGAAAGCCTCCAAGTCGGCCATCACAATGGGCCGAATGGTGAGTCGCTCGGTCTGTATCGCTGGCCTTTCTGCGAGGCCCGGGAATGGTCGCACTGGCACTTGCGCACGATAAGAGAACCACGGGATGACGGCCAGTCCTTCATAGTCTTCAAGGTCGAGATTGATCATGATTGGAGGAAGCTCTTGGGCGAGAGTAGACATTGTATCCGTGATGTAGGTAGTCCAACAAGTTTGGGGATTCAATATTACTTGTCTTTCTTATTCGAAAACCTTTGAGTGTTGCTCTTGTATGCACGCCTCTGCACAGAATCGGGCCACTTTGACATGTTTGTGTGGGTATGGAGCCTACGTTTGTCCTTTTCTCGCATCTCCAATCATGAATGCTGTGCCCCCGACCCCTCGGTATCCCGCGACGGATCGTTGACCCGGGGGCCGGTTCGCCTGACTATCCTTATTCAGGAGAACGCGTTTGCTTTTCCAACCAACATGCATCGGAGTGGATATGGATCCATGTTGATGTGGAGGCGTTGGAACTGCCTACTGGCTGGGGCTGGGTGGGTGTTTCATTTGACACATAACGGTTTGCTTCCGTTGAAATTTCAAAATACCAATAGAGGAATAATCATCCTTTATATCAATGCACTTTCAGTGCGGCTTGTTCGCAATTCCCTACTCAGCTGATCTGAAAAACATGGCATCTGCGACTTCGTATTCTGATGATCTGATGATGTGATCAAATCCCATACAAGGGCTCAGGCCAGCTGGGGTCCCTGGTGGGGATGGTTCTAATTCGGTTCCTAACATGCTCATCTCAATCCCATGTTCGCGACAGCCGCGATAACGGCTAGGGCCGCTGCTGGCAGACTCCCCGATTGGTCGTCTTTTGTCATGTGTTCGGGAGGTCAGGAGAATACTCTGTAAATGGTCAAAATCCGGGTTAGGTACTGCATTGTCCACAACACAATTTTGAGTAACTGATAGGATCAGTATCCAAGATAAAGAGGAAAATTAAAGATAGTCTACAACGACGATATTAATGTGTGAACAAACATACTTGATAAACCTTGCCGTTGTGACGCCTGAAGGGTATCTCACTACACAGTCACACCTGTGGCGCATCAGGAACCATGGATTCCAACATGAACTAGAAAATATCATGTAACAGTCTCAAAGGGTTTTCTACATGTTGATAACTACAAGGCTGAGCTAGCTAGCTACTGCCACCGTTCATGCTTTATGGGCACAGAGTAGTACACTATTTCCCCGGAAGCAAACTACTTCCTTCTCCACCATTCCAAGGCTATCCCCAGCACGCGAAAAAGTACCTAGTTCATCATGGTGGCCGAGTACACAGTACACGTGTAAAACACGAAGAAATACAAGAGGGAGACAGAGAGAAAAAACCAAGGACGCGTCGGCGCGTAAAACTCCACCGGTCACTAACTCGACGAGGTTTCCTTCTGGGAGAAGTGGAGAATACTCGGGCCCGGGAGCCAGGTTGAGTCATCCGGCCCGATGAACAACGGTCATCCGCATGAGCAACCGGGTCCAATGTGCAGGTGCAGCTTCTATCATGCGACGGGCCACGTATGAGGCAAATGGGCTCGTCGGTGTCTTCGTCTTCCTTTGACGGTCATGACATCTTAGACCTCATGTGAGAGTCATATCTTGCCTATCGGTCTCTTACCCAGATGCGTTGACACGTAAATTATCTCCGTTGAGCGAGTTCCTGTAGGCTGGATACAGCAAACAAGAAGCTCTGGTTGCGTTTTCTGCCATAAACCGTGGCCAGGTCACTAGGAGTTTCAGCTGCTGCTATCATCTTCTTGATCATATAATGATAATTGTGAAAAGATGACCACTGCCCTGACCATGAGTTTATCTGACGAATATATTAGACCAAGCGTTTTGAGCAAGACAACCTCTATGGATTCAATATCCAGTCTCAGCAGCCATTCCGACTCCCAACATGGGGAACCGGAAAGCACAGTCCTCTGACTCCCGGATCTCTGTTCCTCAATCATGTCGGTTGAGGCTCCAATCAATCCTCTATATTCCGAAGTCAAAGCTGAAGCTGATGTCTGGGTGATGAAGAGTATTGAAGCGACAAATTATCCTTGAGACCTAGTTTTGTATATATCAATCAAATTATTGGTATTGAGGACTCTCCAATTAGAGGGCAGGGAAGCCAAAAGAAATTCTAGAGCCGACATGGCCTATCTCTCAGCCGCTTGGGTCCCCCGAGCGGATGCTTCTGGGCTGAAGTTCATGACCGACTGGAACCATTGGGTACCTAGATATCCATACGAAAACAAAATTATATTTGCTACCATACTAGCGCACCCAGGTCTTTGCATTCGATGACAGTCAGTTTGTCTAGTCCATTTTCTTGATGCTTGGCCATACTGAGGACTTGCAGTGTTTGACGAGGGAGCCCTCGAAGATGACATACTTCATGCTGCTCAGACGTAGGCAAACCCCCAAGTCTTGGTAACTACCTCAGTGCTGAGACGGTATGTGCTTCTTTAGGATCATAGCAAGTCTTGCAATTCTGGACGAGACGCATCCGCCTGTCTCGGTAGAGCAGAATCCCATCCGTCGTAAGTCTTTTTAGATGCACTCGATATGATCTGCTTGACAAATCAATTCCCACTGCATGGCCTTTGAACTGTTTGACTTCATTTTCTTGACACGCCTAGGAAGCTAACGTTGTTCAATTCCCAAAAGACATATTCCGAGTACTGACCTAGGCCACTATACGTTCCATGTCTCTACCCGAGTTTTGAGCCAAGGAACGGCGACGGGAGGCCTGTCAGGGGCGGCCGGGGACTCGCATCAGCGCTGCGTAACCCGACAGAGTGGTCAGCACGGCAGGGATTGTGGAATTCGGTACCACTCGGGATCCTATTGCATCCCACCCGCTTTTTGTTGTTGGTTGGGAGATAACCTACATACATACCTAGTAAGTAGCTCAAATGCTTCCAGGGCAGCCGTCTGGGCGTGCAGTGTACATTTTTAACCCTGCTTGTTTGGTGGTCTGGCTTGGGAGTGCGCGGAGCTCTATTATTGCACAAATTCCTTAGGCTTTCACCGCGGTCCAAACCCTGTTAGCCTTTCTAAAGCCAACTCGACATTTATAGCAGGAGCTTGTGGTACATGGCAGTCAATTGTGGGGCATGTTCCGACATGTAAGCATTATTACCAGTTGGTCGAACCAGTACAATTCAATCTTTCAAGCTCTTCCGGATACTCAGCAATTCGCAACGTGCATGACAACAGCAAGCCTCATCCTCATAGCGACAGAAATCACCAACACACCATGGAGCTGATCCACGCGCTTCTTGGTGCAGCAAAATACGCCGTGGCTATTATTATACCGCTGGTAAGCAGACAGCCAGTCCAGTTGACTGTAACTAGGTGGATCTGGCAGCTAACAAATGGCCAATTGAAGGCACTTTTCATCGGTAGTTACCGGCTTATGTTCCACCCTCTTCGAGAATACCCAGGCCCCTTCATCGCCAAGCTCACCGATGCCTATGGTGGTTACCAGGTGAAGAGGAAACGGCTCCATCTGAAAGCGCATTCCGACCTTCAAAAATATGGTCCCGTGTATAGACAGGGACCTAATCGCCTTGTCTTCAACACGGTGGCGGCTCTTCGCGGTAAATACCTAGCTAAAACAGCACCTATTTCATGTTTTAGTAGCCTCACATCCCACCAAGCAACCTATTGACAACGTAAGCAGATTTAAGCCGCCATCATGCCTCGATACGCAAATCACACGTTTACAGCTTCACGTCATTCAGCCCTGTCCCGCATGTTCTGGGGACGGTGGACCCGGAACCTCACCGGATGAAGCGCAATGTCTACGGACGTGTCCTCTCTGGCCAGTCCTTGCAGAGATTCGAGCCGGCGATGCGCGCCGAGGTTGATATCTTTCTCCGAAAGGTCCTCGAGGCTGCCGAGGCTGGCCCGGTCAACATGACGCCCCTGTGCGAGCGGCTCGCCAGCGACATTGCCGTCCAGCTCGGCTTTGGAGTCGACCTTAAGTCACAGACCGAGCCGGAGAACCGGGTCCTTATCGACATCTTTCTGCACATGAACACGATCCACAGTGTGTACATGGCTTGGCCCGCCATTCACGCCTTGAATAAGATCGTTATGCTCTTCAACATGCGCAAGCTTCTCACGGCAGGGGGGATCATCAAGAATATCATCAAAAGGCGAGCTGCCATTGAAGAGAACTCGGGGCGGCACGACTTTTGGGCCGTTGCTTCGACAAGCCATCACGAATCCGATTCGACAACATCATCAATCGAAAAGAGCCAAGTATGGTCAGAGGCTCTGTTTTTCTTCCCGGCAGGCGGCCAGACAACCTCTTGCGCCCTGAGCGCTGCCTTCTTCTACTTGTCTCGCCACCCTCTCGTCTACGCTCGCCTTGCCGCTGAAATCCGCGACGCCTTTTCAGACGGGTCTCTCATAACGGTTGGGCCGCAGCTCCTCGGTTGCAAGTACCTGCGCGCCGTCATCGACGAGACGCTTCGCATGTCGCCACCCACAACGGTGATGCCTTGGCGCGAAGTAGACCGCAATATCTCTCCTAAAGAGCCCTGTGTCGTCGACGGCCATGTTGTTCCCGGTGGGACATTAGTGGCGATCAGTGCCTACTGCCTCATGCACAACGAGGAGTACTTCCCCCAGCCTTTCGCCTTCCAGCCTGAGCGTTGGCTTGACGATACTGATCCTGATAGACTGGCGAGAATGGTAGAGGCTTTCATTCCCTTTTCATTTGGTGACACCATGTGTCTAGGCAAGACCTTGGCTTACATGGAAATGAGCTTGGTCCTGGCAAAGACGCTCTGGTATTTCGACTTCAAGCAGGCGCCTGGAGAATCAGGAAAGCTGGGCGCTGGCGGCCCAGGAGGGTGGGACGGGGATTTACGCCGCCGTGTGGACGAGTTTCAGTTGTATGATGCCTTCGTGGGTGAGCATAACGGACCTAATCTGACTTTCATCCCTAGAGAGAACTTGTAGGACTCTTTCGGGGAACACTCTTGGCGAGATCTGAACTAGAAGCTCCGAGCAGATGAGGGCATAGACATGGGCGACGCCTTAGAAACGCAATGATAATAATAAACGTGCATATATTTATGCGCGCATGAGTATGGTAGGATGTGGGAGTGGAGCATAAATAATAGTCTAGATTATGCGAGGCGAGGTATACCTCACTGCTTATCCATTCTGGTTGATAGCGCGCCTCTGTCCCGTGGACGAGCCCAGACGACAGCCATTGGACCGTTCTCTAGCGTGAGATCAAAGTCTCCCAAAGTCAAATTGCCCTTCACCTCTTCTAGAAACCCATTCTCTGAACTCCTCTTAAACACGAATATCGTATTCGAAACTTGGTTAGCCACGGCGACCCACTGATTCTCCCGGTCAGAGCTCAGTGCAAAGTGCCGCGGAATTTTTCCATTCGTCGCGTTTATTCCAAGCCACTCCAAGGGTTGTGGGGAGAGTGTGGTTCTGTTGACAGCGAAAATAGCCAAATTATCGCTGTCATACGATGTCGTGTCGCGATTTGAGACGTAAAGAAAGCGTCCATTGTTCGACAATGCCAACTCGGATGCCAAGTGCTCGTTAATTGGTAAAGTTCGCGCCGATCCTGGCCCCAGTGTTGATGCGGTCTGCAGCAAGGTGATATTCACTACATCATTGGACATTTTGCTTGTATCGATGCTGAACACCCTCACAGTATTGTCCAGTTCGCTTACGAGGTACATGAGACCCAAGCTCTCCTGGAAAATGACATGACGTGGTCCGGTTCCAAGAGGCAGAGTGATATTCTCAGCTAAATGAACATCCGCGGTGCCATTCCCAGACGAGCGTACCCGGTAGACGTATACACGATCTGCACCACGGTCTGGGACTACCATCAACTGGCCCCACGGTCCCGAAGGCCCGAAAACTGCTTCGTGAGGGTTGCTTTGGATCTGAGAGTCGTTGGTACCCGGTCCAGGTTGTGTGAGGTTGTATTTGAACAAATGCGACGACGCGCCTACTACGCCAGTTTCTGACCGTGGGTGGAGCGAGACTGTAGAACCATCAATATTTGCAACGCTCATCAACGAGCCATCTTCGTTGATATGGCAAAAGACTCCTCCATTCCCGTCTGAAGAGTTCTCGGAAACTTTTGATAAGTCGTCGCCAATCCTGGTAAAGCCAAAGACACCGCCCGACACAGATGAGTTGTCGGGGTAGTAAGTCCTCGCCACCGAGTAGATGTTGGAGTCGCGGCTGCATATCCATCCTGGTTGATGGCCCGCTTCAGTCTCGTCTACAATCCCAAGACTTTCATTTGCCGCTTTGGTCGTGTCAAATTGCAAAGTCAAGATCCCTCGACCCTGATGCGCGACGTACAGTGTCAATGGATCGGTTGGGAAATTATCATTGTGCGACTGAGGAATGCAGGCTGCTTGCACCAGCCCAAAAAGTGCACTGCTAAAAAGAAGTATAGAGGCAAACATGCTGGATTATTCTTTTGAACGTGATCTTCCAATCTCGAGTCTAATTCAATACTCTGAAATAACGTGTTCACTTATATCCGAACCGGTGATTATCAAATGATTCCGAAATCCCATAAAGTCCGTTCTGGAAGAAGGCTGAGCGCGCTAATTGCTGACTGGAGGCTGTATCGCGATGGCGTTGAGCATTAGAGCTAGAATCAAGTTCCAAATCCTCCAGGCAGCAAGTACACTAGGTACAATTCTTTAGTTCGATAACTTATCATCTAAGACAGAGTATTCGTAAAACGACCGCTTGCATTATACATTACGTATGTACTCAAGTAATCAGAGTGCCTTTACCAAGGAACCCGTTCCCAAGCATTCCGTCCTCAATTCCCCATAAATGATAGCTATATCCTATCTCCTACCACTCGCTTAATGGTATCCAAGGTATGCTCGAAAATCTTGACATCAGAGCCGTCAGATCTCAGTGAGTCGAGGATCTTGTTATGAACTCCTTCCTGCTTCTCGTTAATTGTGTAAACACCGCTTCCCTTGACTCCCTTTGAGCCCACGGCCAAATCGCCATCATTACCCGCCCCTGGTGCAGCGAATTTGGGGGCTGAGGCTACATACAAGAACCTCTCCCCGGCTTCTTCAACTGACTGCCACAGGAAACGGCTGGTGATTGGCATAACGACCCAGTTGATGAAAAAGCTGAGTGCGCGACCGAAACTCTCGGGTCGGAAAAGAGAGGACTTGGTGAGCCCAGGGAATGCATGAACAAAGCTAATCTTGGGATTCTGTGCCTGGATCTGCTCCAGAGTCAGGGAGACGTAGCTTGCAGTGGCATCTCCGACCTTTGCCAGGCTGTAATTCTTGGGGTCCTTGAACTCGAGGTCATTGGGAAATATGACACCCTCTTTACTGCCTGCGAGGACGGAAATGACGCGTGGCGAGGCAGCAGCGTTTAGGAGCGGAAGAAGTCGGAGGATGAGGAGCGTTCGGCTGTAATGGCGAATCGAGGTGATCTTGTCAATGCCCTCTCCCGACTCGTCTCTCGATGCAAAAGAGAGGTATCCTTGTGACATGAAAAGAAGGTCGACTTTGGACTCTTGCCCCAGGATTTGGTTCACGGCTTTTTCAGTGTCGGCGAGAAGGGTCAAATCCTTGACTTGGATGCCAATATATTGGCCAGTGCTATTGATTGTTTCGAGTTCGCCAATGACTTGGGCTAGCTTTTCTTGCCTGCCGACAAGGTAAACTTTGGGGCTGTCTGTTTGAGAAACGAGAGCCTTGACAAAACCTGCATCTCGAAATTAGACTTTTGATACAAAGGCGCAAATTCTGACAACATAAAGTGGCTGGAAAAGAAGGAGATGGAGAGAGTAAAGCAAAAGGAACATACCATAGCCAATGCCTGAAGTGCCTCCTGTAATTACAGCCGTCAGTCCCGAGCGCGATGACTTTAGCGAAGTATTGGCAGTTCTAATTTCCGTAATAGTAACCATTTTGATGATGAGCGCAAATCAGCTGGAAGTACAAGGTAATTTCGAATATGGTATTGACTTGATAAGTGTGCAGTGTATTGTTTCTTTCTCTTGAAGTGAAATTGATTGTTTTTGTTCCTTTGAGTGAAATGGATTGCCATCACTCTTATATATCTTGTTACAGTTGTTATCTATCTGAGTATTTATACGATGCATAACTCGTAAGTATGAAATGTCCAGGTCGCATGGCCATTTTCAACCAATGAGCATGTCGCTGGCGTAAAATGAAGACAAAAAAGCGGGGTGTTTGTAAGCCACAAGCGAGAGCAGAGTTCAGCTCGCGTTTGACCAGAGTCCGAGAAGAGTCATGTTTTGTAATGACGGAGGTTTTGTAATCCTCGTGGAAGATTCGACGATGCAAAAATGCAATGATTGAGATGATGAATGTCATTTTCAATCGACTTGTTCAAGCTCTGCTTCAAGAAATCCCCGGTGTTGTTGTGGTGACTCTTTTCGCTTACAGAGAAGCTCGGCGACCAGCCCAAGGTGCCGCCAGCAGCCAGCCTCTGGGTAAGACACATACAAGCATGGGAGCACCCCGCAGTACGCCAGCGGAAACAGAACACGCAAGCTGTACGCTTTGCTTCACCTCGAAGCTATGCTCCATGGATAGGGTATACGAGGCAATGCACGAGCTCCGCCTACAGTCCACAGTAGAGCATTTACCCTTTTCGGCATCCCGATTGGGACTGTCTTACTTACTGCTGAACCGGAATACGCAAGCGGGTTTGTGGTCCTATCCGCGCCATTGGTCGGGCAATAGGCGGCTGTAACATGCCACTCCCTAGGTGACATAAGCGTGTTGCTCAATTCGACAACTTTTATGTGAGATCGTGAGATTGCAAATGATCCTTTGACATTGTTCCACTGTTACGTATGATATTCGTCGCTGACATGTCCGCTTTTGCTCGAGTATAAGAATGCTGCTCGAGTCCGTAGTATGGTAATTTTATTTTTGATTCAAACAAAACGCGACTCATTAAGACCATACTTTCAAAGCTAACACACAGTGCAATCATATCCACTCGACTTATCCGAACAAGATGCAATCGTTCAACTTCATTTTGGCGTCCTTGGCTGCTCTCGGCCAGGCTGTTCCGCTTGCTGGAAGAGACGAGAGTTGGCAAGTTACACGCTTCGCTGGTGAGTCAAGTCACACACCACATTCGCTTTTTGCATTATCCCCATGTTTCATCTCATAAAGTACTACCCATGAGAGACGACCGAGTGCTGACACCTTGAGCAAAGCATACCAAGCAGCACACTCCATCTCAGAAATGTAAGTTCTCATCAACAGGACTAACATCGTCTTCACCCGTGGTTACTGCTTTGATTAAAAAAAGCTCAAGTACTGATATCCGACAATAGTGTGAGCTTCAACGTCCAGATTGGAAGCGAGGACCCAACGACCTGTAGCGGAGTCGGCAGCGGCGTCACCTCGAGCGAGCCATACCTCTTGCCGCTCTCCGGTTCATGTGTCGCTGGATCTGGCATGACATTCAACTTTACTCAGGTGGAGGACCAGGCCATCAGGCTGGACGTGATCAAGACATCTGATGGTGTTCAAACCGTTCAGACTTATACTAGCAACACTGGCGCTGTACAATTTGTCTCCACGGGCGACAACCCCTTGGACACCTCGACTTCGTACACTGGCCCTCAGGGCTTTGCCCTCCAGGCTTGAGTACAATCGAGGTATGGCCATGAGCTACTCATTCATATACAACACATCACAACGCACAGCTTCTAGAGTTTTTGTCTTATCAATTTCAGGTATTTTTTCAAGTAAGCTGGGGGCACATACGTGACCTCGCATTGTGTCCATGCTGTCGCGTGTCTTTTTTAACTCGTGAAGAATGGCGCACCCACAGTCTGTGCAACCGCCTCCGCGACCAACCCTTGGATTGCCACACCTGGGTGGTAGTTATTGAACCACAAGCAACTCACACCATCGGCGTTAAAGCAAGTAGCATTGGGAGCTCCATATGCCGTCGGGTTGTTGATGGCTTCGTAGAATGGAACCGACGTGTCCACAATCCACGCGGTAACGTCGCTATTGCTGGACTTGAACGTGTCTAGCTTGCTGGACAAAAAGTCATTGTAGGTGGAGATGGTGCTCGCGAGAGATGCCTCGGAAGAGGCATCATTCTCAAGCATGAGAGGTGTCTGGTCAGTAGCTGCAATGAAGTCAACCATCGTGTTCGGAATTGTCATCGCAAAGTTCACTTACGAGGCACCGACAACAATACAAAGTTCCTCGCACCGGCATCGTACGTCACCTGCAGCAGCTCAAAGTACCGGGTGGTAACGGCATCGATAACGTCGCTCATGTTGCTTAGCCAAAACGTGTTGCCCACATCATTGACGCCCATCCACACGCCAACGAGCGTGTTGTCCGAGGTCCATGGGGCCCAATCCGGCTTTGATGCCAGGGACGTGGAGAATTCTCCGACCTGGTCGACAAAGCTGAGCACCGTGTCTGCGTAGGGAGTTACCAGGTTGGCGTCTGTTGTTGCGCCTCCGTAGGCCAGATTGTACGAAAGCAGCAGCGAGGCATTGTACTTGGTAACCTCAAAACCAACCCAGTCGAGACCACCGCTTGCTGTCCAGCCTGGAAGGTCTGGGTTGCCCAGAGGATTGGAGGCCGACGGATGTGTGCCGTTGACGTCAAACCCTGTCTGCGAATAGGAGTCGCCGAATGTGATAAAGTAAAGAGGATCGCTTGCAGCAGCGCTGCTATTGATCGGCGTCGGGACAGCAGCAGCCAGTGTGGCCGCAGCCAGAGCGAGATACTTTGAGGCCATATTGAAGCAATAGTTTTGGCAGTCTTTGTCTTCCTTGGCGATCTACATCTTCGTGACAGCGGGACAATCGCGAGCCTTTTTAAATGTCATTTTGGATATTAAACCACGGATCCAGGTCTGCCGCTACCCTCAATAATTGCGGGCATGGCATACCCGCAGTCGTCAAGGCGAGGGCAAGATGCTGATTGGCGGAATCCATCAGTGCCCGGCACTATACCAGTAGAAATGTCCAAATCAGGTCCTCCGCGTCTCCCACAGACATGCATGCGGGCCGGTTGCCGACCCCAAGCTTTCCCCCCTGTCTGTAGTATATTAAAGAGCCGCTGGAGAATGCAACTTTTAAGATTTCAGCAGCACAATCCTTATTAAATGGAGGTTTTACTGCCTTTAATTTGCATTGCTGGTGTTTCAATCTGGTTCTATTTGTTTTGTTCCAATGCCATGTATTTATTCTACTTCTTGAGGTTTTTATGAACGTTGCCTCTGTTGAAATTCCTGCAGTGGGTGCATTGAGCATGGCTTTCAAGAAGATTTGGCTCTAGTACACGGCCACCGCCCCCCTGGTCACTACAACAAGCCGTCCCCATCGGTCGAATGGAAGTCGGCATATACCATCATGGTTTGCCTTCGGATCGGACATTGCTATTGTCGGTCTTGTTTCCATGGCTCGGTAGCCGTCGCAAGGGAATAAGTGCAGCAATTAAAACAGCAAGTACGCTGCTTGCCAGCGCAAATGCAAAAACAGCCTTGATACCCGTCATGTACGCGTTTCGAACAGCAATCAATTCGTTTCCTTCAAAGACACTCTGAATCTCTGCTGCTCCAGTGCGTAACACCTCAGCAGCGTCAACATTTGTAAGGGCAGCCACCATGCGGTTTGCAAAAAGCGATTGCGCCACGGCCACGAAATAGGCACCGCTAATAGCTTGGCACACTTTGTTCAATGTCAGCGCATGTCGCTATATTTCCTCCACACTCAGCTTACTGATGATGATTCCCGTCGAGGCTGCCACGTCTTCGGGCCGTGAGAACCCCTGCACTGCCGTCATTGGAACCTGGCTGCTGAGTCCAAATCCGAATCCAAAGAGAATTTGCGGGCCAACGTATCGTCCCTTGGTCGATGCGACGTCCAGGGTGTAGAATAGTGCCGTGCCAGCCACCATGAGCAGAGCGGACACCAGCTGAAAGGGCTGGGTATGTCCTGTCTTGCCTATAAGAACTCCGCTGGCCAGTGCTCCAGCCGCAAAGAATGCTAAGAATGGGAGAGTATTCACGCCACTCATGATTGCTGACTGTCCAAAGATTGACTGGAAGTAAATAGGTAGGTAAAACATTACTTGGAAGTCAGCTGCGTTGGAGCTTTCGCAATGAATATCGCCGATTAGCATTAGGTACATATGGAGTGTAGTCATTCAAGGACGCTCACATGTAGCAAAACAAGGCGTTCGTCCAAGTGGTGCGCGGCATCAGTAGACCTAATGGAAGCATGGCGTGGTCGGCTTGAAGCCATTCGGTTATGAAGAAGGCGATTGTGAGGCAGACCGCCAAAACCAGAGTGGCAATCACAGACCCATCATTCCAGCTCTTGGTTTGGCCGCCCCATTGCAAAGCCAAAGTAAAGCAGACCAAGGAAGTGAGCAAGATAGCAAACCCTGGCAGGTCAAGCTGCCGTAGGATTTCTTTCCATGTCGCTGGTATGGGCTGGACACGTTTCGGGATTCGAAGGAATAGAAATAGCAGAACAATAATTGGGCAACCGAGGGGTAGATTGATCCAGAAGCACCATCTCCACTGCAAGATACGGTGTTAGCAACCGTTTTCGCGAATCTTCAATGGGTTCAAGCACTCGATGGGTCCCTTGAGTACCATCTGCTTCCATCGCGATTGAAATCAATCATTGAATGGTTTGGTGGTTTGCTTACCGAAACTCCACTGGTAAAGGCGCCCCCAATCAAGGGCCCAAAAATGGTCGCTACCATGAACACAGCCATCCACAAGCCTATGAGGGCAGGGTGATGTCTCGGCTCGGCGACGTAGTTGATGACGAGGACGGAGCCGCCCAGGGTCCCTGCAGCGCCCCAACCTTGCCATGCTCGGCCAACGATAACTGCGGCGCTATTCGGAGCGGCTGCGGCCACAATGCTGCCGACAAGGTACAACACGACGGAGGTCATGTAGACATACTTGATATTGAGGTACTTGTATAGTTTTCCCCACAATGAAGCCGTTGAGCCTGCAAGAATAAAGGTGCTACTACCGTACCATCCGACATCATCTAGACGGTGAAAGTCGTCTGTGATTCCGGGGATTGCAGTAGATATTATCCCTATTTCGATTGCCGCGAGAATCGTGCTGGCGAATATGGTGAACATTACGAGGAAAAGGCGCATCCCGGTGATGTATTCGAGTTCCTTGTCCGGAGAGGTGATTGCGATATCCGCCTTTTTCGTAGTCGTTTCTGCAATATTGTCATTGACTTGCTGCTTGTCGCTGTTGGTGGACTCATTTGGCTCCATTTTGTGTACGGAAACTTTTGAGATGTATTAAAAAGATCAATTGATATGATGATATGCAAATGGCAGCAATAACAAACCATTTGAGAAAACCAGAACGGGATGTTGTGTTATATGTCCATGATCTGAAGCAGCGGCCCTTTAGAAAGAACATGCCGCAGAGATTGCCAATAAACAGCTTTAATTTGTCATAATCCTCAATTTCTCAAAGGTTGCCTGTCGTGCTTACAAAATGCCTAAATCATCATATCTGGTTCCCCTAACATCTTGCAATGAGCTGTTCGCGGATGTAGACCATACTCACGGAGGAACCGTTTCGACCGAGAGCGGACCCACAGTACGGCGGACGAGCGAGAGTCGCAGTACAGATTACGGACGAAGGTGGGGGTGGGCTGAAGGCCATATTCATTTCCTCCGCCGTCTTTTTTCAGGTGACACCATCTACAACCTTTTCTTCTAGTTCAACATGTAAATGCACTTGTTACGCCGCGAGTGAGCAGTGATACTGTTCACGGACCATTGGAAGAATGAACGTATCGCGGTTTTCGCGACCAGTGGCAGTCGTACCGCCCTACCGCAAGCAGCCGGCACAGCACGAGGAGGATGACACTAGCGTACAGTCCGAGTCCAAGCGGAGGAAAGTCCGCAAAGGCACCCGGAGTTGTTGGGAATGCAAACGGCGCAAGATGAAATGTGTCTTGAGCCCTTTGAACAGCGACGTTTGCAATGCTTGTCGCCGACGTGGCTCCAAATGTATTGGCCAGGAATTTCCCGAAGATACTACCGATGATACTGCAAAGGCTCATGACTTTCCTACACCGGCAACAACAATCTCAGCAGAGGTGAGAAGTCGTTTTATCATCTTTGAAATCTACTAACTACTTCTTTCAAGGATGCTACACCTAGATCTGTCGGTGGCATCTTCGCATCAGATCTCGCAGTCAACGCACTGGAGTCACGAAACAAGCATGGACAGTTATCCGATACCTTGTATGCGGCTTTGCCATCTCAAAAGGAGATCGAGATAATATGCAACGCAAATCGCCATCCCTTCACGTTACCGCACGAGGTTCTGGTTCTGCCGTATACTATTCTCGAACAAACGGGCATGTAAGTATTCGAAATATGTGGTATTCCTTATTCTTGCTACTCTCCAACATTTGAGTTCCATGTTACTGTTGCGCTTATTGCCTTTTCTTATATGAAGGACTCCTTTCCATCAGCAAGTGTGGTTTCCGCAAAGAGGGCTCCACGTAAAAGTCATGACAGTGACAAATTGAGAGCTAATTTTGACGCATTAGGGAGACTTCACGGAGCCTGGCCATGGTGCCTAGACCGAATGCTCATCCAGTTATATTGGCAAGATATATGCTTCGGCTGGCTATATACTTACTCCATCTTCAGCCCAATCTTGTGGGAGAACTAAAGGGCTTGAAAGAGACGCCGCGAGCACTGAGGACTCGGTTGGTAGACCTTGCACATTTAGTCACAAATGATCACGGACTACTAGGCAACGCCGAAGGCCTCGAATGTGTCATGGTCCAGAGCATGTATGAGGCCAATATGGGGAGTTTACGACAAAGTTGGCTCACCAATCGTCATGCCATGAGCATTGCACAACTAATGGGCATCCATCGACCGAATAATCGAACACAAGTAGAGGTCATCGATCCGAGCACGACCAAGTCAAACACACGCCACATGTGGTGGCGAATCCGATTTCTAGACTGTCATCTGAGCTTGATGCTAGGACTTCCTCAATCAGGTGGTTCAGATGTCAATAGTCTAACATCCGACGCCTTGTTTTCCAACGATACCCCCATGGGTCGACTGGAGCGGATGCACTGTGTCATTGCCTCTAAAATATCAGAGCGAAATGAGTCAACGTCTAATATTCCTGATGTTGAAGTGACACGGGAAATTGATGTGGAGTTGCAGAAAACAGCCAGGAGTCTACCCAGCAAATGGTGGTTGGCGCCATCCATGGATGTGACGCCGGAAGACACTCTTCGCGAGACCCAGAGGCTCTTTTCTCAAGTACTTCACTACAATCTTCTAAATCAGCTTCATCTACCTTACATGCTCCGGTCTACCACCAACAGGAATTACGAGTACTCCCGGATCACGTGCGTCAACGCCTCACGAGAGTTACTTTCACGCTTCATCATATTGCGCAGCTCCAATCGAGCAGCCTACAGCTGCCGCATTGTAGACTTTCTCGCGCTCATGGCCGCCATGACTTTATTGTTGGCTCACATGGATGGCCACCGTTCAGGAGCCGACAACCTCTTGGCTCATCAGTATCTCAGCGACCGCGCCATGATTGAGCGCGCTCAGGAGAACATGGAAAAGCTCAACCGCATGAACTCGGACGCCCTGAGTGCCCAGAGCGCCGACCTCTTGCGGAGGATGCTGGCCATTGAGATGCAGATGCCGGGAGACGACCCGCCTGCCACTACTACTACTACGGCCCAGGTCAGCGTACAGCCTGGAGAGACTGTGGTTGCGGACCCTGCGGATAAGAGTGAGGAGACGACCTCGGTGCGCGTTCATATTCCCTACTTTGGAATCATCAAGATCGCCCGCCACGGCATGAGCAAGGAACCCGCCAGACCTCTTATTCCCGAGCAGCCGCAGGATGCTGACGGCGCAGAGAATACCAGTTCTGGACCACGACATGCAACAGTATATCCACAGGAAGGAAGCTCTGACAACATGAACAATACTACTAGTGATGATCTGGATGGTTCTGTACCCAGTCTTCTTACCCATCGTTTGGACAGCTGCGTGGCGGACCACTTGATGCCATACGAACCGTATCCTGGTCTGGCAGCCCCAGGCGAGGATTGGGCATTCCAAGGCGTCGACATGGCCTTTTTTGATAGCCTGATGAGGAATATGGAGGAAGATGGCGGGACGAATGAGGGCCTGTGGACCAACCCATAGATAGAGTATATGTGTAAAGATACTACGTGGCGTCCTGTGGAGGATTTGGATTCACCTTCTCTTGGTGGTTGGTTTTTGGGCAGCGGTAACGACTTGATGTGTTTTTTTTTTTCCTATTTCAAATATGAAGCCATTTATAGGAGCACTCACAAACTTCTCTACGCTATAAACTGACAAATTAGTGAAGATGAAACAAGACGATCAAAAATTAACTCGGAGTAAACATGTTGACTCCGGCTTCAAAAACTCTCCTGTTCTTACAAAATCGCGGCTAAAATGCGCTCGCTGTGAAAAGCGCGCGCGCTTAGGAGGTCAGTCTTGAGTCTTGACCGACTGTTGCAAACTTGCCAGCTCGCCAACATGGATCATGGGTGTAAATATATGCAGATCATACATAATATAATTGCATCCTTTACAGCCGATGTCGGTCCGTCAAAAGATAATAGCGATTATTATTACTACTATTTCCATGAGTGGATTGGCTTTAACTACGCAACTTGACCTATCATCACTTATCTACTACTGAGACAGCCAAGGAGCGTACAATGCCGTGTCTGTTTAGTGTTTGCCTAGCGTTGCCATGAAGCGTCAAATGTTGGCTCAAGTGCATTGTTGCAATCGCGATCGCAATAGTATTTGAGAGCTCTGATTTGCTATAGTGGTTGACAGAACTAACAGAGATGGGAATGGGACTAGAATAATAAGCCCCCGAGTTCCAACAACGTACCAAGTTTGGGTCGAAGCGTTGTTGTTTTGGGCCTACATGTACTTGGCCCATTATCGGCTCCGCTGATAGTAGAATATAGTTGGCCCACACATCTAGGGTTTCAAGAGTCGATATGGGGCCCGGGCCTGCCAACGAATTGCCCTGTCCAGTTCCAGCCTTTGGGCGTTCCTGTCAGAGCTGACGGAAACGGGGCTGGACTGAGCTGACTAAAGGGCGGCTGGCCATGCCGCTGTGTCGAGTAAGATGATCTCGCCATCTAGTTATACCTTTTGCTTCACCAGAGTGGTCGACTATGGTCCACAACAAACCGGTAATAGCATCTGACGTGCAGCGTTGGGGAGACGTACAAGGCTGAAAAAGGGCATGGCAATGGATACTCTCACACGCGCTGCTGTGCCGTGGTCCGTTGATGCGGCATCGTCAAAAGAGCGGAGCACATGGGAGAGGAAGCAGCAGCAGCAGACCAGAATCACCTGCTTTCGAGCCCATCGTGGGAGAAGAAGAAGAGGGCAGAGCACCCTTTCGATTGCCAGGTCTTGCCCTGGCTTGCCTAGTAGTTCTCTGCCCGGGTGCTGCCGCTCATCTGCCAATCTCCCGCCCGGTTGTGATCCTCCGGCGGGGACAATAGCCAGGAAGGAGGGTAAAGGAGGGGAAGGGGAATGGGCAGAATGGCTTTAGGATGGGGTGGCCCTGAGAGGCCCAGCCAACCTTGTCCTATAGGGCTCATTAAGAACTGCGATTGGCTGTGGATGGACACGTCGAAATGGGGGGTCGGCTCAAGGCGGCGATTGGTCGTGAATGCGTTGGCACATGCATCGGGTCATAGAAGCGTGTTGCCAGTGGATTGGCTGGCTACAAGACGTCAGGCGCTGCCCGGGCAAAAGCTGGCGCCAGTCTAAGACCAAAGACCCCCCCAAACTTTTTTTTTCTCAACCCCAGCACCATGCCATGCTGCGGATGGGTGAGCACGCAGCTGTGGTGCAGGTCGGTAGCGAAGGTACCTACATTGCATTTCATGTATGTATGTAGGTACAGTCAAGAGGAGGAAGAGGAGGAGCTCTTTTCGCTAGCCGAGATAGAGATAGGGTAAGAGAACGAAAAGGCGGGCTTGCGTAAGAAAAGGTGAGGGAAATAAAAAAAAAAGGAACTGATGCATATCTGCCAATGCAAGGCCAGCGCACTGATCTGACCTGAGCTCTGTTCCGCTGCCAGTTCTAATAGGTGCAACATATGAGACAACGGAGCCCTCTGGCATATGACTTGCAGCGAGAGAGCGCGCGCGCGCACAACACTGGCAGATAATAATAATAACAAGTCGGCCGAGTACATTCGAGTATGAGAGAAGAACACATACCGAATAAATTATACAACGGACACCGAAAAATTGCGCCCCTTCATTGGTCTGATAAGCAGTTTTGAGTTCTCCCTCAACATTGCACCTCCCTCCATATTGAAACGTAATCGTCGTCATTTGTGCTGTTGCTGCAGCCCGCCGGTTTTTTTGCCAGGACAGCGGCATGGACGCACAGCATGCGTGATAGATATAGCATGCTGCATGGTACTCTTTAGAGATTCAGCAGTATGTACGTATGTAGCAGGTATGTGAGCACCAGGACATGAAAGGACAACAGCAGGCAGTCGGACGAGTAGGTAACGTGGCCAAATGATAATAGTGCTACTTACAACTCGCAAGAATCGGTGAAGCTTCACACCTACCTACTACACAGTGCCTCCGTAAAACCCTAGCCGTGACTAAAGTATTGGTCGCGTTGGAGGAGGCTGATCAAGTTCGTGTCGGTCCGTTAGAAGGCGAGTTTGGGTGGATGAAATTGCTAAGAAAGTGGATGATTGGGTGAGATCTTCCATTGCTACTTACATGGTACCTACCTACACATTATATTCCCCGTGTTTGTTTGAACTTATTCTTTTCTTTAGCACCTACAGCCTACACAGTACTTCTGTCGCAGACACATGAACAAATGAGACGCCTGGCATATGTTGAGCAAAACTAGGTGCCATGTAGCACAAACACTCGGTTAGGTACACTTGCGAAGTTGACAGACAGCACAAGTGAACCGATCACAAAAAAAAAAAAAAAAAACTAAAGAAAAAAAACTCGAGTTTTCCCATGGTTCGCCGTAATGGAGGTTGGCAGAGAGCCGCTGTCATGGTGAAATAGCAACACTAGTACACCAGTAAAGGCTCGTGGCTGGGCTGTTGCGTCCCGCCTGTCAAGGGCCTTCCAAGGCCCCCCTTGGCCCCATCGGGCATGGCCGGACCCAGTGCATTATTACCCCACGGCAGCCAAGTTCAACCCGCCATCCCTCCATCCATCATATCCATCCCTCCATTCACGCAAGCATCCTCCTGCCTGCCAGCTCGAGCCCGCTGCTGTGCTGGACAACGTGACAGGGTTGACCGCAGCACGAGGGACTGGAACTGCTGAGTGGCACAATCAATACCTTACCTACTAAGACGAATACACACTTACCGTACATTTGCCTACCGATGCCCTGACCTGATCTTGGGTTGACTTGACAGCTGGTCCATGATTTGTTTTTGTTGTGTTGCCGCTCGCCAACCTTCTATTTCTCTCCATTCTTGTGTCGTATATTTCTTCCAGTCGTATTTCCTTTCCAGTATAGATCTCCCGCAATCTCGTGACAGTGCCGTATTGAACTAGGGCTGCTACCTATAGTACATACCTTCTTCCACCACTGCGCACCCCCTCTGTCCGACAATTGCGACCGGCACAAGCGAGACCTGGAGCCTCTAGATACCCTTCTCCTCTGCGCCTGTCCTCGAATACGTCCAAGCTTGCCAGCAGCGACGACTCTCGAAAACAACAGCCACCGAGCACCATATGCCTGAGTAGACTGCACCACCATAGCCCAACTAGCACCGGCTGCTAGTCGTGCTTGGGTGATTGTGCGCCCTTGACCTCGATACCACATGGCCCATCATGATTTCCATGCAGCGATCTCTCTCCTCACCCGTGCGGATACATTCTTCGCCTCGTATGTCGATTGCCATGATTAGCCAAATTCTCGTGCGCAAGGCTAGATGACTGACTTTGCTACTCTCTTGCTTCAGCTCTCTCTCCATCCACAACCGAACGCTCGAGGTCTCCAACACCCTCTCCTCTGAGCCGTCGTCATGACCCCTCCCGACCTCGCCGTTTACGTTCCAGGAGCCCCAGCGAAGGCCCTCTCCCCGAGCCCTTGCTCAAGCCAGTGATCTCATTTCCACTACGGAGGAGTTTGGACAGCGATAGGCACGGCCATGGTGTACACGGCCACCGTAGAAGCGCGAGTGCGCAAAAGAAGCCTGTTATAGCCCAGGAAGCGTCTTCTCCAGTAGAAGCTCCATCCTCGCCAACGCCCGAAACTGCGCCGGCCCCAAGAGGAAACGAAGCCCCGAACACGGCATCACATCCGCTTCTCGCCGACATGTCGCAGTACTCCAATCCACAACTCAACTTTGAGGCCGAAGGAACAACTCTGGAGGAGCTCGCCCATTTGGTACGACTATCCAAATACCAGGAGCGCAAGCGCGCCAACACTCGAATTCGCCTTCAGCGGTCTCTCGTATCAACCGCCCTTTCTGCACGCCTGACCCGTTGTGGCGAGATCACGCAGAGAAACCTGGCCGACAGCTTTCGAGGCGAGGACAAGAAGGCATTCGCAAACCTCTTTGGCGCCATTCATGATGTCCGGAATAGCTGCGACGACACGCGCCGTTACGCTTTATTGGAGCCTGACCTGGAGTCTGTCAAACTTCCTGGCTTGGAATCTGCTGATAATTTGGATACACTGTCAAATGGAACTGGAGGTAGTGCCAACATTGGCTCCGTCGCGCCCTTTCTTAACGATATTTCTGCCTCTGCCCGGGAAGCCTTTTTGAACTTCTTGACACAGATTCGCACCAACCCGGATTATCTGGCATCGAGACTTTCTTCTTTGAGCAATGCTGAGCTCCAGGCGCTCAACACGTTCCATCAAGGATCGGAACCAGTAGAGTCGGTCTTGCCCTACTACAACAGTCGCCCGAGTGGGCGCAATCCTCCAGGTGCCGCCGCCAAGAACTCGGCCCAGTCTGCCAATGCTGTGGAACGGCTACTTTCCTTTCAACGCCACGATCCGCTCTCAGCACTCATTTACACCAGTTTCGCCAATTCTGCCGGACCAGATAGTGCCGAGGACCGACGACGAAATGACATTTGGGCTAATGCTTGTGCCCGTCTCATCTCTGAAGCTAAGTTTTCCAATTCTGCCAATGAGTCAATCCTCTATTCTGTACTGGACGTTTGGTCTGCCTTGCGCGATTGGTCCGGGCGATCGAATATGGAATGGTTTCTCATGAAGATCTTGGAAGACGGTGCATTCTTGCTTGACCGTGCCGAGGATCAAAACGGGACTCGCTTCAACATTTCGGAATGGACTCACAAGGACAACGTTGCCAGTGATGAGTTCTACGATCGGGCCATCAATGATCTCTTTGAGGTTCTCGACGATGAAGATGCGACAGGAATTCCCGAGGGTGTCCTGGAGTTGGGCAGTGAGATTCTCAGACGGCTGAATCCTCGCTTAATCGAGAGCGTCAGGCGCTGGTTTGTTTCCAAGTGGCTCTTTGGCCATTGGCTTTCGGATGTGATTGTCCACCCAGAACGACATGGAATGATGGCAGAATACCACATCACCGAATATGGCCGCCAGAAGATCCTCAAAAAGGTTGCCTCCAAGGCCAAGGATTTGGTTATTGACATGACCTGGACCAGTTCCAAGAAGCCTGTGCTTACGCCACCAAAGGTGAAGAATCATATTGAGAACATTCTTGGACGCTTCAAGCCTGCAAGATCTCGGGGCATTGGACGACTTTTGCCAGCCAGATCTATCACGTCCTTACGAGAAACAGCCGAGGTGCATCCGTACTTGGTCGTTAGTCCAGCTGATTTGCTTACCCTAGTAAATGCGCTCTTCCCTGAGCGGCGGCCCCAGTCTGCTCATTCCAGCAGTATTCGCTCGGGCGCGCCGTCTGTGTCCGGATTTTCTGCCATATCCCAGCCCATTTCCCTTGGAACATCTCGAAACAATTTTGACACTGCTTCAGTCATCAGCCTTAGCACCTCTTCCGTTACGAGCGAGGCCACAACTTCCAAGGAACCGTTCTTTGATGATCAGATAGGCACGCCGCAACGATATTCCCCTCCAATGCTCGAGACTGGAAGTCCACAACGGGTGAGCAATTACGAAGATGACGGGTACCGACTAAGACTCGCTATGCATGAGATGGTCCAAATTTTAGGCCAAGAGGTTGTGTCTGGCTCCTGTCATCCATGTGCTGAACGTTGGGCTGTGCTCTTCATTTCAGCCGATGGCCACAACCTCTCACTACAGATGACCTATGATCCCGACGAGGATCTTGAGGAGGAAAATTCTTCAACCACAAGCGACACGGAAGATGAGGATCTGGATGATGGGCCAGAATTGGACAAAGATTACCACCAGTTGCGCGATTCCATCTTGAAGCTTGTTGAAGACTTTGAGATTCCAAGAGGTCTCGAGGATGATGGCGGCCTGACCACATTGAGCAACCGTGCCACTGGCCTAAAGAAGTACAAGTCCAGAAACAAGATCATCATCACTGAATCTTCCATGGGCAGCAGAAACCCTTACCGCAAGATGGAGCGGGAAGGAAATGAACGCAACTATACCTCGAGGTCCCCGTCAATAACGCGTTCCGAGCAGGACGCGGGGCATGCTGATGACTCACAGCCTGTATTGATCAAGATGCTCGAGGCCGCCTCTTCGCAATCCAGAGTGCAGTCGGATTTTGTCGCAGCTCACCTCTACTGGAAGACATTGCAGCAGCTCGATAAGCTTTCATCCCCTTCACTTCGCAAAAATGGCTACGCCAACTTATTGAATATCTTTTCGAGGGGGCCAAGGGACTCAATACGCCGTTCTCATGCGGCCATTGAGGAATATGACGCATGGCTCGTCTGGCTCAAGCAAAGTCAAGAACGACACGAGGGATTAATTTCGTCCATGATGAAAAGCCTCAAGAGTCTGCGGGACAAGATGTGGTACATTACTGACGTACACAACTCGGCACCCTATGAGCACACTCGCAGTATCTGCAGTGCCTTGAAAATCATGGGCGTCCCCAGGAGATGGGGAACGTTTCAACGTACTCGAGCACAACTATCCCGTGGTCCAGCTGCGAATTACCTGTACAAGAACGAGTCACAAATGCTCGACATACTGGCGGCAAGTGAAGAGCAAGGCGGGCCCAACAAACTCAGTGACGATCAAGCAGAAAAGACGACAAAATGGCTTCAGCAGATGCGAATCGAGAACATCTGCCAAGGAGAAGAACGTATCCACCGGTTTTGCTGTGAGGTTGACAGCTGTGTAAGCAAACTTGTCGGGGATAACATCGTTGACGGTCCTGTACTGTGGTCAAGTGAATTGTTCCAGCGCGATCGAAAGTCTCTGGAAGGACCTGCCAAGACTTTGAGGGAGAAGAGCAGTTTCTGGAGTGGAGATGATGCTGCCAGCGTCATCAGTGACCCTGAGCGGCGCTACGCCTCATCTGCAAACCGGCCAAATTCCATTGCCAGAGATCTGAGGTCAATGACAACTCACAACGTCAGTCAGATATCATTCGACTCCCGCTACAGTTTTTCCAGAGCGAGCACTGCAATGTCCGACATCCTAGACTCTCAAGACTACTTTGGCGCCGCGTCTCCGATGCATGCCATCGACTCGTCCTCGACATTCTGGTCACCGTTTCAATCTACGATGCCTTCCGCTAGCTCAGTCGTGTCACGCGCGCATTCACCCACGACGAGTATCACAAACTTTTCTGGCTCCTTCTCTCACCCTTACAGTCGTCAGCTACCGTCTCATTACTCTGGCGGCCGACCTGGCACATCTGCTTCGTCAAATGAGACTGTGCATCTCCAACGTCAATCAGAAACCAAACAACGTTTCTTGGAGGATCTTCGACAAACTTTGACCAGTCTTCTCTTGTCCGACCTCGGCAACTATATGTTCTCTGCGGGATCTGAGACTGACGGCTGGTTTGGAGGACTCGGACAGCAGTGTATCGAGCGTCGGCAAGCACAGGAAGCTCAGAGTCGCCAATTCGTCAGCACAAAGAACGGCCTCAAGAGCCGCGTGATTGAAAAGAAGAAGAGTTTTGGCAATCTCCGCGTTGCTGGTGAGACTGCCGCCGCCGAGTCAACATCTGAGCAATCCGAAACCCCCACTGTACAGAGCCATGATAGTACTGCGACAACTCAGACCAGTCCACGGCGCAGCCGGCGATCACGAAGAGATGAGTCTGCCGACTTTCCCTACAAGAAGGCTTACCAGCGCCTACTGAGAATGTTTTGTGTCAACCCGAACCCCCACGTTAAACTCAACGCCCTGTTTGAAATGAAGCATCTGGTTGAGGCTTCCTTGGCGTCAAGCGGCCGTCGTTCCCGATGGGCTATGCGCGATCGTCTCGCACCCCCAGATGATGATGACTTTGGAGGTGCAAATGCGCTTGAACAAACAATGGACAGCGTCAGGGAGCGTAGGTCGCAGGTCATCTTCTCGCCGACCATGTCTCCCGCGCAAACACGCTCGTCCGGCAATGCTGAGACACGGTCGATCGTGTCCATAGCACCTGTCAACACTGACGCTGTAGCCATTGTACTCGAGTCCCTCTTCAAGGACCCCAGTGTACGACCCAAGACACTCTTTCGTGATCTGCAGTACATTGCGTCCTTTGTTCCTGCGGATACTCTCGACAGGTCAGAAAAGGGCAAGGCCTTTTTCGACACGAGTCTTGCTGCTCTAGCGCTGAAGCAGGAAGTCTGCCGCACAATGGTTGAGGTCGCAGATGAGGTGATCAAGATGGAGCAGCAATCTAGAAAACCATCGTCCACAAGTAGCGAGGGTTCAGACACGGCAAGGTCACCATTGCCCTACTCACTGGCAGACGTAGCCAAGATGTTGACCATCACGGCTAAAGAGGGGTCACATCCCGCACAGAGGGAATTCGGGCTTTTCAACCTGAGTAACCCAGAGCTTGTAGAGAGGACCATTATGCCACTTTGCAAACCCCGCGACGTCTTCAAACAATCTCTCATGGAGAAATTTGGGGCCAAGCCAGGAGGCAGTGCAAGACACCCCGTGGACAGAATCCGGGCACTGGGTTCGTCGGGTTCCGCTACTGCATCAGAAGGTAACAAGGGTGTCGATGTCAAGAATGACCCAGCACTGCACTGCGTCGCGTTCCACTGGTTTGGTGTCGCAGCTGAAGGCGGCGACAAGATTGCCAAACAGTTCCTTGAGCAGAATGAGATCAACCGGCTGGACTGAAAGGTTTTTCTCCAATTTTTTGACTATTTTTCTTCCCATTCTTATGCATATTTTGTTACTAATTTTTTTTTTCACGTCATCTTTTTCTCATGTCTTTCACTCAAGGTCATGTTTACATATATACCCCTATATATAGCGCATTTTGATACCAGTTTTGATATTTTAGAAACCGATTAGCATAGTTCAGCTCTCAGCGGACATACAGTCTTGGTTTTATGGCTGCTGGAAGGGCGCAATGACATTTAAACTTCTGTAAACATTTTTATTCTGCATGACGTACGTGACCGCCACCTTTCGCCGTCACATGTATGTATATCTCATGTCTGAGCCAGACTGATGTGACTATGTACCCGAACTACAGCAGATCGATATCTAGTAGGTGGTTTGAATGTCTGAGGCGCCGCAACCCATCAAGATCGAGGACCCCCCTCCTTCAACCGCACATGATCGCTTGGTCTCTGCAAACGCCAGGCTCCGAGCAGATTTAAACTCGACCAAGAAGCACAACGAAGACTCGACCTGAGATCCGTTAAATCTTTTCAGCAATAACTTTTTACAACTAAGACTAAATTAGGATTTTTTTAAAAGAAAAGAGGGAGACAAAAAAAAAGGAGTAAAAAGAGAAGGAGAAAAAGGAAGGGAAAGAAATTCCAGAGAAGGAGAAGGGGAAAGAAAAAAACTCTTTCTTAACCTGCTCTTAGTTTCTCTTAATTTCCGTAACATATGTAAATTGTACATGGAAGCACATTTCCATCCTTGTCCTTCTTGATTGGTGCATTGGTGTTTTCCGGCTTCTCGCCGAACTTCTTCTTGACATTTGATCTTGCATAACGTGTGATGCATTGTAAGTTCGATGCTGACCAAGGCTGGCTACTGTCAATTCGGCGAAAGTTCCGTGAGTCTGCTGCGAGCTTTCTGTCACATTTAACGCATTCGGCGGGAAGAGTGTTGCCATTCTCGTCATTTCTCATGGGCGAAACCTTGATAGGATGGAGGTTCAGGTGACGGGGGAGACACCGGTTGTTCTCATCTGTCCAGGGACGCAGCACGTCAACTTTGCAGCGCTTCATGAAGCCATCTTGGACGGACTCTTGGCACGTGGAGCAGACAAAGGTCTCGTTAGACTCCTGGCCGGGGTTGAACCGTGTGCGGTCACATCCATGTTTCCTCCACCAGACGTAACAACGGTGGCAGCGCACTTTGGTCTGGTCCATAAGGCTCAGATCAAGGTAGTACCATTGTGGGTTGGTAGAGCCTGTGCAGTCCTTAACACAACAGGATCTCTCCTCACATGGTACGATCGGGCGTTCATAGCCTTGTGTTGCAAGAAAGTGCTTGCAGGCTTTGCACCTGTCCTTGTCACGGTGATTACCATGGCAATTGCCGCACTTTTTCCGACCGCCTGACTGGTTCCATAGCGGCCATGAACGGTTCAATGTGACATCTGCCAAGTTCGGCAGCTCGAGGCCCTCTCGGAGCACGGCGTTAAATTTGCACACCAAGGCAGGGCAGTATTGAGTGTTAATGCCCTGGGGGCAGAGACCCAAATAAGTGATCAGGAGTGCCTCTAGCATGACCACTGGTCTTCTTGCCCTCCTGAGATCGTCACTATCGCAGGGTTTCTCGAGAATGGCCCCGAGAAAGAAGTTGGGCACAACGTCCTGTTGGCTGGTAAAGGTGTAATGAAACGTCTCTTGGGCGAGAAGATCATCATTCTCCGTCGACGGATTGGCCTGCTTCAAATGTTGTTTGACCCTGGTGTAGGCCCCCATTGCCGCCGCCGCCGATCCTACGTAGGCCTTGACTTCTGTCGTGCTCTGCAAGTTAGTCCCAGACATGACCGTCTTGATCTTCCTGTTGGTCCTCGACCTAGCGTCTTACCTTGAAGATGTTATATGGTGACAGGCGAGTAGGTACATCAAGATAGATGGCCCATTGGCGACAATCCAAAGCACCAGTTGGTATCGCGAGAAGATTATCTCGATTTTACTCGATTTTCTTCTCTCCAAAAAATAAAATAAAAATAAAA